AGTCTGGCACACCATCGGATTGGCATGGTTTTACCTGAGCTTCACTCCTGTTTTTTTTGTTTGTTTGTTTTTTGGGGGGGTCTGGTTGTGGGGCCTGAACCCAGGGCCTGGGCACTGTCCTTCAGCTCTTCAGTTCAAGGCTAGCACTCTACCACTTGAGCCACAGCACCACTTCCAGCTTTTTTTTTCTGCTTATGTGGCGCTGAGGAATCGAACCCCGGGCCTCAAGCATACAAGGCGAGGGCTCTACCACAGAGCCACCTTCCCAGCCTCTCCTGTTCTTGACTTTTGTCTTTTAGTAGGTGCCTAAGAAGCTGATTTTTTTTTTTTTTGCCTGTGCTGGGCCTTGAACTCTGGGCCTGGGTGCTGTCCCTGAGCTCATTTTGCTCAAGGCTAGTGTTCTACCGTGTGAGCTAGAGCACTACTTCCAGTTTTTTTCTGTGATGACTTGGTAATAAAAGGTCTCATGGACTTTTCTGACCCTGCTGCCTTTGAACAGTGATCCTCAGGTCTCAGCTTCCTAAGCAGCTAGGATTACAGGTGTTGCCCACCAGCGCTGGGCTTGATTTTTTTTTTTCTTATATTCTGGATACAGTTCTTGTACAAATAGAAACGGTCAGGATTTTAATTCTGTGATACACTTGTAGGTCAGCCAGTACATAAACAGGTAGATAAAAAGGAAAAGGTAAGAAGGCCTCTCTTTCAAAAAATATGATTGCTTTTAAAAAGGAGAAAATAACAAATCAGAGTGCGATTTGTGAATTACAATTGTGGGAAATTTGAGCAGTTCATTCAAGTTTCATTAGCTTCAGCTATACATAGGAAGTTGCTTTGGTGGGAGGTCCTTCAATATACTTTGAAAAAAAAAATTGTATGTGTGCTGGTACTGGGGTTTGAACTCAAGTCTTAAGCATTGTCCCTTAGCTCAAGGCTGGTGTTCTGCCAGTTGAGCCACAGCTCCGCTTCCAACTTTTTGGTGATTAACAGGATAGTCTCATGGGCTTTTCTTGCCTATGCTGACTTCAAACCTTAACCCCTTAGATCTAGTCTCCTGAGTAGCTAGGATTACAGGTGGCACCCCCAGCACCCATCTGAAATCACATTAAAGCATACCATTACTGCGTCAGCTATGGACTGCCAAGGGGTGTTGGCAGCATGGGTGGGTGTTAGAGACATCCCTTGTCCTTGATTATATCCAGTCAACACTTAACACGTCTTGAGGTGTCCACTGGGAAAGGATATGGTGGGTTCTTTTTAATTTGTCTTTGTTGTGATTGGTGGTGTGCAGAGGCACCGTTGCCTTCGTCAGGTAATGAGTCAATGTTTTGGACAGTGTCACTCCTGTGATGGGTTCTTAAAGCTGTGTCCTGCTTGCATTTCTTCTTGCAGTGGTTGTCTAAACAGGAAGCTTTTAGAAACCTCAATCCTGCCTTGTGACTTTTTTTCCCCCTTACTGAAAATTTTCTAGGGTTATTGGTGATTTAATAATCCCAAGTGTAACGACCTCTTGATTTTTTGAGCATGTTTTGCTTCTTACATTTTCTGCAAGGTTACTAGGTAGAATTAATTACACCTACACCGTATAGTACATACATACATTTATGGTGCTGTCCCTAAGCTCCTTTGCTTAAAGGTACTGGTGGCTCACAGCTGTCATCCTAGCTACCGAGGAGGCTGAGACCTGAGGATTGTGGTTCAAAGCCAGCTCAGGCAAGAAAATCTGTAAGACATCTCGAATTAACCAACAAAAATGGGAAGTGCTCAACGTGCTGAAGTACTTACTATCTGAGCAAAAAAAAATTCAGAGGCTGAGGCCAGACGCCAAGTTCAAGCCCCACAACCAAAAGTAAAAATAGTGTGTGTGTGTGTGTGTGTGTGTAAGTGCTCAGGTTCCCCAGCTCCCTCCCTCATTTACATCGGTGGGCACCTTATCACCAAGCAAAAGTAAAAAGTTTGGTGGTAAGAACGGGTGTCCCGAGGCAGGCCCTTGTTTGTTCTCGCTGGCTCCCCACTGAAGCATACCTGAGCTGGGGTCATGTGATGAGCGCTGTGATCAGCTGATCACTGCTGAGAATACTGTTGCTGGAGAGTGAAGGTAGAAGCGAGTTTGCTTCCTGAGATGTCCTTTTGCAGCAGGCTGGCAACAGGGAAGACAAATGCTTGGCCTTTTCCGTGGCTTCCCGATGCTCACCAGCAGTTCAGACCTTAGGCTACTTCAGAGGGGCAAATGTCCCCCTTCCTCTCCCTCCCCGTTGCAAAGGCTACCAGGGTGTACAAGTATTAGGGACAGGTTACTGCTGAAAGTGTTACAGCTTTTCCTTTTTCTTTTTGGTCCTAGTTGGGGACTTGAACTCAGTACCTGATGCTTTTGCTCATTGGTTAGTGCTCTACCAGTTGAGCCATGTTTCCCACCCCGAAAGCGTCATGCTTCTGCTTAAAACTGGAAGCCTTTGAGTATAATTTATGAATTGGGAGGAAAGTTGGTGGAAAGAGGGAAGGGAAAACCATCTGGTTATCTCTTAACTGGGAAAATACTTTTCTTGCCAGCAGCAGAGATAATTTGAGGTTTCACAAGATGATAGTCCTTTTTTCTTAGTAAAAATTATTTACAGTCCTGGTTTCAATAATGTTTCTCAGACTGCGCATTGTGGCTGGTGGCCAAAAAATAAAGTTTAAAAAAGGAATATTCAGCGTTTCTTCTTGGTTGACAAAGATTGTACATGATAAAAAAACACAATTATTAATGTGCAGCATTAATAACCTCAGTGATTTTGTCATTTCTTGGCTTTTCTTACCTGTTTGCTTATAAAGGCATATTTCTACTCTAATTTGGAAGGAAGATAGAAGCTTAATAGGAGCTTTTTTTTTGGGTCCGGTCGTGGGGCCTGAACTCTGGGTCTGGGCACTGTCCCTCAGCTCTTCAGCTCAAGGCTAGCGCTCTACCACTTGAGCCACAGCGCCACTTCCGGCTTTTTTTCTTTTTGCTTATGTGGTGCTGAGGAATCGAACCCAGGGCCTTATGCATGCAAGGCAAGTGCTCTACCACTGAGCCATCTTCCCAGCCTGGAGCTTAATATTAAAAAAAATATTTTTTTTATCTTAAAGCTGATATACAGAGAGGTTACAATTCTAGAAAATTAATATTTTTTGGAAGTTCCACGAAGTTCATTGGTCAACTCGATTTCAGGATCAATTCATCTGGCTTTTAGTTTTATATGTGACCTTATCCTACCTAACTTTAGAGATCATGATTTTCTACATGGGTTAGTTGAATGAATCTTAGGGAAATTAAGGTATAGCCGCTGTCTTTGACCAAGGAAGGACACAGGCTGGTTTTAAGGATGTTTCTCCCTCAAGAGGTTTTAGAATTCATAGAGGTAAGTAGTCCAGCCCCTGCTTGGAAGAAACATTTACCCAGAACCCTTGACTAACCTTTCCTGACTGTGTCTGTTCTACTTGTAGACTAAGCATTGTTCACGGTTGTCTAGTCTTCTTCCATTTGGATCTGCATTTTGCAGAGTTCATCGGGCCTCTCCATACCCAGCACCAGTACATCTTCCCCTGTGGAGGTAAGTTGGGAACAGTGCACATTTGGACAGGCCCTCCCCAATTGAATTGGTACCTGATTCACACAATGGAAGTCAGTGTCATTGCTTTGAAGGTGGGCTCTTTTGCTTGAGCTTGCAGCTTCTGAGGACAGACACCCCTTTGGTCTTTGGCTTCACCCACCTAAACCAGACCTGGATGGTTAGGACGGAAAAGACAAGCGCAGCAGAATCTCCATGAAGCACCATGAAGGTACAACGCACTCCCTGCATCTACCCCATGAATTGTGGTAGATGAAAAGTCAAAAATAAATAGAAACTCCAGTTGGGCAGGTGGCTCACACCTGTAATCCTAGCTAATCAAGAGGCTGAATTCCACCAGCTCACACTTGTCATCCTAGCTACTCAGGAGGCTGAGATCTGAGGATCGCGGTTTGAAGCCGGTGAGGGCTAAAAAAGTTGGTGAGATTCTTTATCTCCAGTGAACTGCCAAAAACCAGAAGTGGAGCTGTGGCTTAAGTAGTACAATACTAGCTTTGAGCAAAAAAACAAAAAACAAAAAAAAAGCGCAGGAACAGCACCCAGGCCCTGAATTCGAGCCCCAGGTCTGGCACAAATAAGTATACTGAAGCTTAAAAAAAAAACAAAAAACAAAGTAGAAATGAAAAAAATATTGCCCCCTCCCAGTTCTAGTAGAACTACTATTAACTGTCCAATTAATTGTTGTTTGACTTTATATATGATGGGGGTACGGGGAGGGGAGGCAGCGTGGATTTGATTTCTGACATCTCAGTAAGTGTTTATATTGTGTTCTAAGTTATTGTTCTTTGCCTGGTGCTGGTGGCTCACACCTGTAATCCCAGCTGAGATCCCAGGGAGGCTGAGATCTGAGGATTTTGGTTCGAAGCTAACCCACACGGGAAAGTCTGTGAGACTCTTATCTCCAATTACTCATCAAAAAGCTAGAAGTGGAGCTGTGGCGTACATGGTGGGCCACCAGCCTTGAGCGAAAAAGCATACAAGCCCTGAGTTCACAGCCCTCTTGGACTAACACAAAAATCTAAGTAAAATTATTGTCCTTTCCAGCTTGGAAACAGTAAAAGGTAACATAGAAGTGCTTTTTAAATCATCTATCCAGCACTTGGTCCAAGAAACACCACTTCTTAATGGGTTCATAGGAGCACTTGAGCTGTGGGGATGGGCAGAAGGCAGAAAGGTAGATTCCTCCAAAGGAAGGAAAAGGTGGCACCCTAAGATAGCTTATAAGCCACTGGCCTGACCTGCCAGGATATGCACACAATCCCGCTGTGAATCACCAGTGTGAGGATTGTCTGGTGGCTGAGGAGAGGGGAGGGCCGGGGACAGGAGGCGGAATGTGGGCTGGGCCTAGTTTAGGATTACAAGTGCCACAGCCACAGAGGCGTTCTGGAACCACACTTTAAATAGCCAGCACCTTCCCCTTCCCTGGAGAATTCGCCACTGGACGGGCAGCAACTTCACGAAGGTCTGGAATGCTGGTGCCATTCTCTCCCTCCCTCCTTCCCTCTCTCCCTCTCGCCCCCTCTCCCCCTCTCACCTCTTCTCTGGGGTCTCATTCTGCTGGGTGGTGGGATCCATAGGATGTATAGCTGGAACATTTCTGGCATCTCCTTAAACAAATGTTTCTGACGATTAACTGAGCATATGCAAAAGACAATATGCTATTTTCTTGACTTTCTGGAATTTGGGGTGGCTGCTCGCCGGAGGGCATGATGTGAGTCGGAGTGCAAATGGCCATAGATTGAGCGGAATGGCATTGGATTTGATCTCACGAAAGCATAGTTTTTCCTCTCTCTGTATAGGAAGATAAGGATCAATGCTGGCAGGGCCGAGAGAAAAATGCAGATGCAAACATACCTGTTTGCGTCTACAAAGTGAGGAGCTATAGGTGTTCTTGTTCTATACTCACATATAGGTAAACCTGTTCTGTCATTCCCACTTTTACAGGTGAGCCGACTAAGGCTGGGTTGTTCATTAACTCCTGTAAAGTCAGGCAGAGGTCTGAGAAAATCCCAGGGCTTGGACCTAGGCTGACTCCGGGGCTGGAGTTGTTGTTGTTTTTTTTTTCTGTAGTGGGCTCTTCCTGACGCACAGCTACGTCAAGGCTCAGGAAAAATCCTGCTCCTCTTTGCACCCTAGGGACTTGCTTTTTTGGTGATGACAAATATAGGAGACTCTTATAGCAGAGAAGCCAACCGAAAAGGATTAAAGTACATCATTGTAAACTTTCATCACTAGAAATGCCTCATTCTGCGATTGGGACTGACTGAGAGAAGTCTGGATTCAGCTCTTGTTTAGTGAACAGCTACTATACACTGGGCACTTTACATAAGATCATTTCATTAACTCTCATGACCCTAAGATGTGTTGTCACCTCCCTGTTATAAGGGTCTGGGAGAGTGAAGAAGAAAAGGGAGGCAGCTTCCTATTAGATAAGTTAAGAGGAGGCCCAGTGTTGACCCAGGACCAGAGACAGCACTCTAAATGCTAGAGCAAGCCAGGTACTGGTGGCTCCTGCCTGTAATCCTAGCTGCTCAGGAGGCTGAGATCTGAGGATTGCAGTTTGAAGCCACCCCAGGCAGAAAGGTTCCCTTAAGACTCTTCAATTAACCACTCAAAAACCAGAAGTGGCACTATGGATCAAAGTAGTAGCAGGCTAGCCTTGAGCAAAAGAGCTCAGGGACAGTGCACAGGCTCTGAGTTCAAGTCCCATGACCGACAAAAAACGGCTAGAGCAGCTGTGTAGCTGTGTGTTGGGACTGGTCACTAGACTTGTTCCTAGCCCACAGACAACCTTTGTAGCTCATCCCCTAGTTTATCAGATAAGTGCTTTCTGTCCCCCACTTCTCTCTCTTCACTTTCCAAATCCTGAGGCTAACCCTGGCAGGGAAGCCAAACCTAAGGAGAATCTGGGGGTCAGAAGAGATCCTGCCGAAGCGGTTCTTTTAGCGCACATTTTTCTTGATGTTCAGAGAAAAACACCACTGCCTACTTCTCTGTAAGAGGGGCCACCGTATTAGTGAGGGAGTGGCTAAAAGACAGTCCAGTTAGACCTGCTCATCGGTGAGGTGGACAATAAGCTGAGCAGACATAATCAGAAAAACAGGAAGGGTAGAGTGGGTTCAGGTCTTGGCTGTGCAATTTACTTTATGGCACCAATCAGCCCTTTTAATCTCACTGAACTACAGTTTTCCTTATTTTTAGTGTAGTAGTGAGAACACACCTTTGGGTGGTACGAGTGAATGAGAGGGTGTTGGGTACCACCTCCTCAGGAGCTGCTGGGTAAATGCTAGCCGAGCCTGGCCTTCTCCTCCATCCCAACCCAGGATAGAGCAGTCCACGCAGGGGTTGCTTAGAATCATTCATTTATATTGTCTTCTGACAGATCCTGTGCTTATATTAGCTCGTGTGTGCGTGCACGCTCATGCGGGCAGGAAAATCCATAGCTCATTTCCCCCTCTCATTTTGATTTCAGAGAGCAACTGAGGACTGAGCCCCCAGGCAGCTCAGTCAGCTTACTTTGGCCAGTCACTGATTCCGCTCCTCCTCCCCTATTCCTTTGGAAGGATTTTACTTTCCTAGCACTTTTACTTTTCTAGGGCAAAATTAAAACATGTTCTTTGGTGAAAATGTAGAAGGCATAGAGGGGAAATATATTCTTGTCCTCCAGCCGCTAGGAGAAACATTTTGGGGGGTAGCCTGCCACCCACCAACCCGATCCTGTTTTCTACTTTCCCTTCTTTTACGTGTGACTGCCTTTCTGCTTCAATAATCTCTCTCTGCAGTGTAGCATTTAATGATTATGGAGTTGTTTCATTGTGTGTCTCTGCTAACGATTGATTTTGGAACATTGGTCTGCTTGGTTCTTTTTTTCATAGTGAGAAGTTACAAACATCCTTCATACGGAATCTGTTAACCCATAGACACAATTACATCCTTAGGATAGATTACTCAGAGGGAAATCAGTGGCTTTGAGAATAAATGGTGTGGCATCCCTCCAGTGCCCCCAGCAAGCAGAGTAAAGAAATAGAAGCACATGTTCACATAGTCTAAGGTTCACTGCAGATGACCCAGGGATAATTCTTTATTTATTTAGGTCATGAGGCTAGAACTCAGGGCCAGGGCACTGTCCCTGAGCTCTTTGTTTTGTTTTGTTTTGTTGCTCAAAGCTAGCATTCTACCACTTGGAGCCATGGGTCCACGTCTGGTTTTCTGGTGGCTTATTGGACCAGCTTTGAACCACGACCCTCAGATCTCAGCCTTCTGAGTAGTTAGGGTGACGGGGCGTGTGAGCCACCAGCACCCCAGCACAGGGATTATGCAACTTCAGACCCCAACCTGAGAGTGCTGGGTCACAGAAGCAACATCTGCCCTCTAGTGTGGCCTTCCTGAGATGAGAAGGGCTTATAGGTTCAAGGCTGGGGAAGGCACAAACACCTTGATTCCCGGGGTTCTGAAGGGCAGAGGCTTTCCCTTGAGGGGGGGCGGGGGATTTCCACAGTAACAGAGCACCCGCCTTGTCTTCCAGGAGGGATGGATAACAGGGTCCCGGGCACAGCCAGTAATGGAGAGACAAAGCCAGTGTGTGCGGGCGCAGAGAAGGCGGAACAAGATGGTACCCTGGCGCGAGGCCAGTGGAACAACAAGATGGAGTTCGTGCTGTCTGTGGCTGGGGAGATCATTGGCTTAGGCAACATCTGGAGGTTTCCTTATCTCTGCTACAAGAATGGGGGAGGTAAGAGCCGCGGCGTCCTCCCCCTTGTCCCCCCAAATGAGGGCGCACCCCTCCGTGGTGTCCCGGGGCCCGGATCCTGACTACCGCCCACCCTGCGTGGTCTCCGGCCGGTTGCTCCTGTGCTCAGAGCCTCCCTGGCCGCTCTGTCAATCCAGGTCATCACACCCGTCTTCCAAGGCGGTGGTAAGCACCCGAGAGAACTCCTGTAACTTTGTTAGGAGTCGTGGCTACCTGACAGTCAGGTCGAAGCTAGACGTCCTGTGCGCTCAAGATGCCTTGGCCTTGTGTCTTCCCCAACTCAGCCGGCACTGCGACAAATCCCAGAGCCATCTGTGGCCCAACCCCCACCGAAGCATAACCTTTGACCGTAGCAACTCTTTCTTTAAAATTTTCCTGTGTATGTGTGTATCTCTGTATTCGTGTGTGTCTGCCTGTGGAGGAACATTTAACACTAGTTCTTTTTTCTTTTTCTTTCTTTCTTTCTTTTTTTTTTTCTTTGCTGGTCCTGGGCACTGTCCCTGAGCCTCTCTGTGCTCAAGACCAGCACTCTACCACTTGAGCCACAGCACCACTTCCAGATTTTTCTGTGTATGTGGTACTGAGGAATGGAACCCAGGGCTTTATGCATGCTAAGCAAGCACTCGACCACTAAGCTACATTCCCAGCCCTTAACACTAGTTCTTTTTTGTTGGTCATGGGGCTTGAAATCTGAGCGTGGGCACTGTCCCTCAGCTCTTCAGCTCAAGGGTAGCGCTCTACCACTTGAACCACAGCACCACTTCTGGTTTTCTGGTGGCTTATTGGAGATTAGAGTCTCACAGACTTTCCTGCCTCGGCTGGCTTTGAACCACAATCCTCAGATCTCAGCTTCCTGAGTAGCTAGGATGACAGGCGTGAGCAACACTAATTCTTCGCTGTGTCATTAAGAGCTTCTTATTCTTCACTCCAGCCGCCCTGGAATAACTGTTATCACCACAGCAGTGCCTTTAAAGAAATTGTTTTTTGCCAGCCCTGGGGCTTGAACTCACTTCTTTTTGCTCAAGACTAGTACTTCACCACTTTGAGCCACAGCACCACTCCCAGTCCCCGCCCCCCAGTAATTTATTGGAAATAAGAGAGGATAAGAGTCTCATGAGATGGGCACCAGTGGCTCACACCTATAATCCTAGCTACTCTGGAGGCTGAAATCTGAGGACTGTGACTCAAAGCCACACCAGGCAGCAAAGTCTATGAGACTCTATTCTCCAGTTAATCACTAGAAAACTGGAAGTTGGAGCCATGGCTCAAAGAGGTAGAGTACTAGTCTTGAGCAGAAGAGTTCAGGGACAGTGTCCATGACTGATAACCCACCTACCTCCCAGAAAAAGAGTCTCATGGCCTTTCCTGCCTGGGCTGGCTTTGAACCACAATCCTTAGGTCTCAGTCTCCTGAATAGCTAAGATTACAGGCATGAACTGGCTTGTTTTTGTTTTCTTGAAACAAGGTCTTGCTATGTGTCTAGGCTACCACCAAACTCTCAATCCTCTGGCTCAGTCTCCCAAGTGCTGGGATTACAGACATCCATTCCCGTGCTTGGCTAGAAAAAGTAATTCTGGGGCTGGAAAGGTGGCTAAGTGGTAGAGTGCTTGCCTTGTATGCACCACATAATCACAAAAAGCCGCAAGTGGCGCTGTGGCTCAAGTGGTAGAGCACTCGCCTTGAGTTGAATTGCTGAGGGACAGCGTGCAGGCCCAGAGTTCAGGCAATGCGACCTACAAAAAAGAAAGAAAAAATTAATTCTGTTACCACTAAGCCACTTTTAGGGAATCCCATGTCTGTGGGAAGGCTTGGAAGAGATTCCCCCCAATATTAAAGGTTTTAGACTGACCAGTGGGATGCTTGAGTAGAATTTACTGGGGGAACTCAGATCGGTTTCGTAACGTGGGCACCTCCTGGACTGAGAGCATGCTTAATGCAGACATGGGTGGCCAGGATCGAGGCGGAGACGTAGGGTGCCCTGGGCTCTGAGGGTGGGGGCTAACACAACACCTACCCTTTTGCAGACTCCTCAGACTGGAGTCTCCCGGTGGCTTTGGAGAAAGCAGACTTCCCAAGTAGAGCAGGAAGGTCTGGGGGCTTGTGGCGGTTGGAGGGACCCTCGGCCTGGTCCCTGGGGTTGGAGGTTAGCTTGTGTTTTTCCAGCAGGAATGAGCTCATGTGTCCTGTCTTCCAAGAATTTCTGGCCCGTGGCCTGAAATCACAGGACTTTGCTCTGTCTGCATTGAGAGGGGAGATGGGCGCTCTTCCCACCTCCCACCTACCCGATACTTCGCACCCTGTGGAGGAATCGGCACCCCTTTGTAGTAACTGGGTGGACGGAAGAAGCTGCCCAGGAGGATGAGGGGCGCAGCCAGGAGGCCGGGACTGAGCTGAGCATGGCTAGTAACCAGCTTAGCGCCTCATGTGGCAGAGAGATTAGCAATGAGCCGCTTTTCCCAAGCCTCTGTGGAATGGGGTAAGGGTTGGCTTGGGAATTAGTAGCAGCTGCAGAAAGACAGCCCTTCCCAGGTTTAGGGTTGAAGAAGACATGGTGGAGAGGGGCAGCGGCCCCGAGGACGTGGAGCCCAAGCTCTGGTTCAGGGCTCCCCGGCGCGTTTGCTGTGGACCTGGGGTGGGGCGGGCTCTGCTTGCAGGCTCAGAAGCAGCGTGCCTGGGCCTTCTGCTCCCACCTGGCAGTTTAGATGGTTCTGGGATTCCTAAGATCCTGTCACGTGCTTTAACCCTTACGTCACCCCACACTTTGCTCCCTTGAGCTTGCGAGAGGCCTTAGCATCCCCCGCCTCTTGTTTGCTGATGGACAGACGGCAGCTGGGGGGGAGGGCTCGGAAGGACTTTGGAGCTAGAGGTGAATGCCCGGCGTTTGCTCTGAAGGGCATGCGTCATGCAGGGCCACTGGATACATTCATGAGAAGGCTCCTTTGCCAAAGTCTGCGCGAAGGTGTGTGTGCGTACGGTCAGTCGAGGAGCCCAGGGCCTTCTGCACTTGTGTTCCTTTCTTTGTTATTGCTGTTGTTTCCCCCAAAAGCTCGGCCTCTCTGTCCTCAGGTAACTCTCAAGGAAAGCTTTTGGGGGAGTTAATAGGAGATTAGAGTCTCACAGACCTTCCTGCCACAATCCTCAGGTCTCAGCCTCCTGAGTAGCTAGGATGACAGGTGTGAGCCACCGGCGCCCGGCTTCCATGTTCTTTCTCTCTCTCTTTTTTCCACTTTGGGGAAGGAAGGTGCTGAGAATGGAAAGCGATTCGATTGGTTTGACCTCTCTCCTAGTGGCTTAGAGATTTTGTTTAAAACATGGCGGTGAGAGCGGAGCCTGGGCTCGCAGGAAGTGCACGCAGAGCGGAGCAGACCCCACAGAAGGGTGATGGGATGGTCTGTGCTCGGGGCTGGGGCCGCGTGTCCCATCAGCCTGCTCCTCGGGTCTCCCTCTAAGTCCACAGCCTCCCACGGCATAGATCCAGACTAGAAATACATAAGTCACATCTCCTTCGGTTTCTTCAGCTTTAGCATTTGGCTCGATCTCACTGGATCTGCCGGTGAGGTCCAGGGCAGGGGAGGGACTGAGGCCAGAGGGGGGAAGAAGATGGGTGACAACCAGAGTTGAACACTTGGGGAAGCAGAGAAGGAGTTGGGATGAAGCCCTTCTTAAGTCAGAAGCCCCGGGGCCGCACAGGATTTTCAGAGAGCTCCCGGATCACCTCCTCGGGAGACACTCTCCCCTCTGCCCAGGCCATGTGGACCATCTGCCCCCAGCATGCCACCCCTGCAGGCGCCAGATCGGTTCCAGTCCCACTGTGCCAGCACCCAGCCAACCAAGCCCGGCCTCTGCCGGTGCCATTCATGGACAAATATTTACTGAGCACCTCGCAAAGGCCAGGAATTGTTCTAGGTGCATCTGTCAGCACCACAGACCGGTATCCCGGCCTTGCGAACGGTTTCCATTCCAGGGGAGGGGGACAAGGCGGTGGACAAGGCACCCCACCGTACAGCGCGCCAGAGCTTCTGAGAGCTGTGGAAATGGAGCAGGTTGAGTTGGGTGTGGGCGGCAGACCAGCCACCACGGCTCACCCGGGGTGAGAGGGTTGGCCAGGTGGCTACTGGGGGTGAAAGTGCCCCGGGCCGAGGAAATACAGGTTAGATAGTCCCAAGCAAGAGGCCAGTGGGCAGGAAGAGTCCATAGAAAGGGCGATCGGAGTTGGGGGGTTGGGGGTGCATGCCAGGGGGGGCCTGGTCAGCCATTGCAAGACTCAGCTTTCACTTTAGAATCAGCCACTCGAGGAGGATTTTGAATGGGAATGGCATGATCTTGCATTTAGAATAATCTACCCGGCCATTGTGTTCAGAACTAATTTTAAAAAGTTGGGTGCTGGGTGGGTGACTCATGCCTAGAATCCTAGCTATTCAGGAGGTTGAGAACTGAGGATGGTAGTTCAAAGCCAGCCTGGGCAGAAAAGTCCCCTTGAGACTCTTATCTCCTATGAACCACTCAAAAACCAGATGTGGTGCTGTGGCTCCAAAGTGGTAGCAGCGCTAGCTTTGAGCAAAAATAGCGCAGGGACAGTGCCCAGTCCCCAAGATCAAGCCCTATAACTGACAGAAAAAAATAACTGATTATAAGGAAGAATGTAAGTAAGCCAGTGACAAGGCTAAAAATTGGATTCATCCCTGATTCTCTTCTTTGAACCGTTGGTTCTATCTGAACACCCGGATCCGGTATGCTTCAGAGCCTGGGCCTTGAGCAGAGGCCTCTCCAGCCTCCTGGCCCTTGGGTACCAGCAGACGAAGTTCCTCAGGATCAGAACCCCTCCGACTACAATCAGGCTTCTTGCTGTCCCCACCATTGCTACTACCCTGTCTAAGAGAACCCCTAAGATAGATCACTTAGCTGGGCAATCAGGAAATGGATGGCCATGTCCAGAGATGTTTGGGGCCCAGAGAAGAGCAGACTTGGAGAAGAAAATAAGCAGCTGAGTTTGGGAGGGCCGAGTGGGGGTGGAACTGGTGTTGGGCTCAGTCATTCGTGGTCGGAGTGCTGTGCAGGGCTTCCGATAATGAGGGAGATGGAGAAAGACCGCAAGTCATACGTACGAGTCGTCATGGCAGACCTCCATCTCTGCCCTCTTCCTTCTGCCTGTGCCCATGCGAGTAGTCCAGCCTGTCCAGCAGTGCTGGTCGAGTTGCTGCAGAAGCTGCACCCTTGAACTCTTTCCCAGCTCTTCACCGTCAGCTCCCCGGAAGGGAGAGCAAAGACCTTTCCACCAAGGCCTGTCTAGCTAAAGCTCTAGCAAGGAGACAAGGAGACTCTGGATCACTCAAGAAGACACAGGAGGAGGTGGTAGGAAAATTTTAAAATTCCTTGCCTGCCCATCCCAGCTCAGACAAAACCAGTTGGTTTTGACTTAGTTTTTAACTGTAGAGTAATGGCTAACCGGGGGCCACCCACAGTGAGAGTTCCTGGAGACCATCCCGACTGAGCAGACAAGAGCTCCCTGCTCTCTGCCCGCTTCCAAGTCTTTTCATCCAATCCAGAATCACCCAGATCTTGGGTTTCAGCCCCTGGGTCTTCATCTGGGACCTCAGTGGCAGAATATGGAGACAGGTCCCCGTGTGTGGCCGCCGGCGGGGGGTGGGAGGTGGCGGGGGTGGACGCCCAAGAGATAGGACTCTTGGACGTGAAGGGCAGAAACTGTTCATCTGAGCTCTAGGCTCTACCAAGAGAGTTTAAGAATACAAAGTCTAGGGGGACTCGGTGAATCAAGGATGCCATTCACCCCTTTGTGTCATAGAAGAGAAGCCATTATTTTAGTGGCAGGGGACAATGGATTCACATTTGAGGGAGTTACTCAATGCCCACTAGTGCCCAGGCTAATGTGGATTCTAGCCATGTGGCTATTCCTGCATTCTTTCCCTCCCCCTTCCCCCCTCTCTGCTCTGTTTCTCATGTGAACTAATTGGTTTATCACTTTCAAAAGTACCTGGAACCTTGCAGGTGGCATCCCAAAGTGTCCTCATTTTGAGACGGGTAGCCAGCAAAGCAGTTTGTTTCCAGGATGGTAGTGCCCATACGTGGGTAAGGCTGGAACATTTGGGGACTTAGTGGACACTCACATTTTGGGAGTGCTGGGACACTGGGAGCTCTGTCCACCCCCACCAGGACTGACTCCCATCTTCTGATAGTGGTTGGTGATTGCTGGGAAGAAAGAGGCAGCTTGTTCCTCAAGACCCCCTGGGCTCTTCCTAGGTCCCTCTCAGCCTCCATCCAACCCCTGGAGCAATTCCCAGAGGCGTAGTGTTGGGGCTATCCTAGGGCTCAGATTGGCAGGGGAGGAGGAAAGCAAAGCTGAGCACAAATCCACTGCAGTTAATCATTGTGAGGGAGCCCCGAGCTGAGCTATTAACCCTTCCTGGAAAGATGGGGTGCTCAGCAAAGACTGAGTTAATTTTTTTTTCCCTCTGGCCCGACAAATCTTGGATTGATTTATGGACCTGTTAGTCTGAATTATTTACAACCTTCATTTCTTTGCCCTCAGGCTAATTAAGCCTCATGGTGTCAGAACTAAGTAGGGTGGACAGCACACTACAAGTTTGAAAGGTGAAGACCTGGGGACCTCATTATGTTCTCCACCAAATGAGGACAACATGCACATACTTACAAGTATTGTGTCCGTGGTTTGGTAGTTTTTGGTTTGTGTGTTTTGTGCAGTTACTCGGGGCCTAGGTACTGTCCCCTAGCTCTTCCCCCTCAAGGCCGGTTTTCTACCAGTTGAGCCACACCTCCACTCTGACTTTTTGCTGGTTAATTGGAGATAAGAAGCTGGGCAATTATGGCTCACACTTGTTATCCTAGCAGCTCAGGAGGCTGAGGTCGGAGGATTGCAGTTCAAAGCCAGCCTGGGCAGGAAAGGCTGTGAGACTCATCTCCAGAAGTGGAGCTGTGGCTTAAAGTGGTAGAGCACCAGCCTTCAGCAAAAAAAAAAAAAAAAAGCTCTGGAACAGTACCCAGGCCCTGAGTTCAAGCCCCATGACCACAAAAAAAAAAAAAAAATGAGCTAAGAGTCTCACAGACTTTTCTTTTCTTTTTTTTCTTTTTCTCTTCTTTTCTTTTGGGGGGGGGTCCGGTTGTAGGGCCTGAACTCTGGGCCTGGGCGCTGTCCCTCAGCTTTTCAGCTCAAGGCTAGCACTCTACCACTTGAGCCACAGCGCCACTTCCAGCTTTTTTCTTTTTGCTTATGTAGTGCTGAGGAATGGAACCCAGGGCCTCAGGCATGCAAGGCAAGCGCTTTACCACTGAGCCACCTTCCCAGCCTCTCACAGACTTTTCTTTCCTGAACTGGCTTTGAACCAGGATCTACAGATCTCAGCCTCCTGAGTAGCTACTGGCACCCAGCTTTTACAAGTATTACTTGGATGTTTTTTCTACACCTTTTAGAAACATGGAAGAACTTCTTTTTTTGGGGGGGGGGGGGTCCAGTCGCGAGGCTTGAACTCTGAGCCTGAGTGCTGTCCCTCAGCTCTTCAGCTCAAGGCTAGCGCTCTACCACTTGAGCCACAGCGCCACTTCCGGTTTTCTGGTGGTTTATTGGAGATAAGAGTCTCACGGACTTTCTTGCCCAGGCTGGCTTTGAACCGCGATCCTCAGATCTCAGCCTCCTGAGTAGCTAGGATTACAGGTGTGAGCCACCGGCTCCTGACTCAGTTATAGTAACTTTTAAGTGCCCATGTTAGCTAATTGGAACATCTGTGTAAGTGATGGATCAGAATCGATGGATGACTTAACCACTTTCGCAGCTTCTTTGCTGCTGCCAATGCATTATTGGATACAAGACCAGATGAATTTCTTGCTTTATTGGTGGTAATACAATTTTTTTTCCCTGTTTTTATGAATGTTCTCGAGCTCTGCTCTGGGATCAGTGAAGACTCTTGAACCTTTTCATCTTACCTTTAAGACTTTGTTATCCAGGACTGGTGTTATGATCTCTCTAGGGCTGGCTCTTCTCCACTGAGGAAACGCACTTTGGCATACTGTGTCTAATCGGTGCCTGGTGCATCTTGAGATGATTCTCTGGCTGGTGGGACAGACAAAAATGGACTTTTAACCTTTCTGACTAATTCTTCCTGCGTGCTGGACTTTTCTCTCTCGGGGGCAGTGCTCCTTTCTCTGCTACTGTTTGCTATGAACTTCCATTTGTCTGCTGTGGCAGAAGATGGAGGTCCCTGGAGAGAAGTACTGGCATTTCTAACATCTATAATAGTCTCATCTCGGCCAGTGATTACGAAAACAGGAGCAGAAGTCTGATTCCAGCTCTAAGCCCCTAAGTGGTGCCTTCCTCTTGATACAGTAGGGGGCAAATGCACTAGCTGGGGAGGTGATGCAGGCTGCAGGAAATCCCGCATGGGAGGCTGAGACAAAAAGGTAGTTCCAGGCCCTGTCTCTCCTTTCCCTCAAAAACTCCCCACTTGGTAATCTTAGCTACTTGGGAGACTGCAATCAGGGGCATTGTAGTTTGAGGCCAGCCGGGCAGAAAAGTTCATGAGATAACCCCCCCACACCCCCAGCCCTGCCATCTCAAACCAAGAAGCTGAGTGTGGTGTGGGAAGCCTAAAACTAGAGGATCTCAGTCCAGGAGTGTGCCTAGTCAGAAAGCAAGACCCTATCTCAAAAATAGCCAGTGCAAAGGACTATGGGCATAGCTCTTGTACCTGCCTAGCAGGTACAAGATACTGATTTCAAATCCCGGTATCTCCTGTGACCCCCCCCCCCCAAATCTCTACTTGACATTGGGAACAACCATTTTTTTTTGAAAAGATTTATAGACTTCGGGCTGTGCTGATGCTCCCAGGTAGTTATCAGTCAATGAATTTGTGACGTGTTTTTCGAGTGACATGCTACTCTCAGTCAGCAATTGATATTCAGTGGAGATTGAAACTGCAGGTGAAAAAGGGCTCCTAGGGACCTTGGTGACCATAGAGCACTGCCCATGGTCCAGTAAGATGTCTGCTGCAAGGGTGTGTGTGTGTGTGTGTGTGTGTGTGTGTGTGTGTGTGTGTGTGTGTGTGTGTGTGTTGATCCTTGAAACTCAGGACCTGGGCACTGTCCCTGAGCTTTTTTGCTCATGCTAACACCCTATCACTTGAGCTACAACTCCATTTCTGGCTTTTGGGGGTGTTTAATTGGAGAAAAAGAGGCTCATGGACTTTCCTGCCCAGGCTGGCTTCAAACCATGATCCTCAGATCTCGGCCTCCTGAGTAGCTGGGATTGCAGGTGTGAGCCGCAGGCGCCCAGCATCTGCTGCAGTTTTGCATGTTCCCCTATCTGCTGGGGTTCTGGCTAACACAGGAGCAAGGGGGTTGTGGGACCCTGAGCAGGGTTTTGAGAGGTGAGAGATCATGTGTTTTCTACCCGCAGGTGCCTTCTTCATCCCCTACCTCATCTTCCTCTTCACCTGTGGCATTCCCATTTTCTTCTTGGAGACAGCCCTGGGCCAGTACACTAGTCAGGGGGGCATCACAGCCTGGAGGAAGATCTGCCCTCTGTTTGAGGGTAAGTACCTGTGTGCCCCATTCCCAGGCATCCTCCTCCTCCCCCACGATATTGCTCATCCGCAATGGCTGAGCAAGAAGCACATTCTACACAAAGACAAGAAGATACTGGGGCTCCACAGCAAGCCTTTGGCTTGTGGGCTACACCCTACACTCGCCACCTGGCCCATGAGAGGATGAGGGAGAAATAGAGGCAAGGATGGTTCAACCAGTAGCGCAGGGAACTACCTTCGCTGTATCTGTTCTACATGCATATGAGACCGTGACTTCGTGTTCTTTTCCCACACAAACCGGCTGTCTCCATCCCTTACTTGTGCTGACAAAACACTGGGGATCATTAGCCCTTGGAATCATGGAGATAACCTCATGTAGGTTTAGAAGAACTCAGAACCGTGAACTCTCAGAATCTGACAAAGATGGGAAGGTGCAGGGAGCGGGCTGAGAGGCCACTCGCACCCAGGAGACCCATTCCTGGAGCTGGGGTGCGAGTCTCGGTCCTTGAGGACACTGATGGTGAAGCCAAAGCCCCTTCCCAACAGGGCTGGGTGCCCCCGGCCACATTCTATAGCCAGTCCTCTCTCCTGCCACCAGGCATCGGGTACGCCTCTCAGATAATCATCATTCTCCTCGATACCTACTATATTGTTGTCCTGGCCTGGGCCTTCTTCTACCTCTTCAGCAGCTTCACTACTGACCTCCCCTGGGGAAGCTGTCACCATGAGTGGAACACAGGTGAGGTTGTCTCCCAGGATCCTACGGCTTCCTCCTGATCTGCCATGTAGACCGGCAGTGAGGTTGGCCCTGTATCCCAGGCAGCCTGTAGCCCAGATTCACAGAGAATTTCCACCAAGAATAATAAGAGGAAGGGGTAGGGGCTGCGCACCCTGGCTCACACCTGTTCATCCTGGCTACCTCAGAGACAGGGATTGGAGGATCATGGTTTAAGGCCAGTCAGAGCGGAGGGGGGGGGGGGGGAGTTTATGAGGACTTCGTCTCAACCAATGGCTGGTCCTGGAGGCATGTACCTGTTATCCCCAGGGACATGGGGAAACACAAGTAGGAGGAGCACAGACCAGGCAAGTCTTCCCAGGCCTCAAGTGTGACCTTAATATAATCCATGTACAGCCAAGCGCTGGTGGCTCACACCTGTCATCCTAGCTTCTCAGGAGGCTGAGATATGAGGACAGCAGTTCAAAGCCAGCCCAGGCAGGAAAGTCCATGAGATTCTTTATCTCCAATGAACCACCAGAAAACTGGACACGGAGCTGTAGCTCAAATTGGTAGAGTACTAGCCTTGAGCAAAAGTGCTCAGGGTCGGTGCCCAGACTCTGAGTTCAAGCCCCACCACCAATGAAATAAATCAAGAAAAAAATAAAAATTAAAATCAGTGTAAAAGGGGCTGGAGGTATGGTTCAAGTTGCAGAGCGTCTGCCTACCAAACCCGAGATCTGGAGTTCAATCTTCAGTATTGCTATCAAAGAATGAAAATGAAAACAGGAGTTCACCAGCATCACAGACAAAAATGCATGTAGCTCACAATTTAGGCAACTAGAATTGACTTCTGTTTAAAAACATGTTGCTCAGCTACTTATTAATTTTGGACCATATTAAGTTTGGACCATAGCCAGCTTGATATATGTGTCTCTTACATGGCCATTTCTTTGTTCCTTGTTATTTCTGATACTATTCTAGGTCTTTCAGACTTATCGTTTATCTGAGCTTAATTAGGGAATTGGCTGTTTTGTATGTCATCGATCTAATTCATGGTAGTAATTGACTTCTGCTCTACCAGCCTGGGCAGACCACCTTCGGTATGAGAGCCACGGACTAATGCACAGATAGTAACGACAACGCAGTATCCAGGGTGGGCTGCCCAGGAGCCCATTCTCTGCAGAGGGTTGAGCGGGAAGGGGTCTGGACATTTTGGGAGTGGGATGTGATTTGAGGTAGGGGTGGTCAGACGAGGCGTTATAGAGATAAAGATTTGAAGGCAGAGGGGGAAAGTGGTGAGTGCTAGTCCCTAGGTACACCGTGCCTAGTGTATCCAGGGGCTAGCGGCGCCCAAGAGGGTAGAGTGGTACAGATCTAGCCTCCTGAGTCGCTGGGATTACAGACGGGAGCCACCGGCACCCTTCCCATGTTTGCCTGTGATCCTCCATCGATCCTAAAAGATGCACCCATACCGGAAGTAGGGCAGGGGTGGTTAGAGAACCTGGTTGTCACTTACCGATGGCCGCTCAGCTGGTACCCAGAGGGTAACGAACCCCGCCAGGGTCTTGACCTTGCTCCTGCACCAAGCCAGAAGGCATGCTCCCCTGCCTCAAAGGCGGTGCTTTCTCAGGCCTGCTTCTGGGATCATCCGCTCGCTTTGAGCAGCTAGCACTTGGAGAACCTTTCCTAATGTTGAACAGCGTCCACGGGGATGTGTACACACACACAGGCCCCCGGAGAAAGTGTGGGGAAGAGGCCAGGTCAGCCCTGGGGACTCCCCACCTGAGTCTTGACTGATGATCCTTCTCTTCCTTCCTTCCCCGGGACTCGGGCGGCAGAGAACTGCGTCGAGTTCCAGAAGACCAATGGCTCCCTGAACGTCACCTCGGAGAACGCCACCTCCCCAGTGATTGAGTTCTGGGAGTAAGTGAGACCCTCGTCCCATTTTTACTGTGGGCCTGTGCGGGGGGCGGGGAGGGGGGAGCAGATTCTCCACTCCTTTCCTGGCCCTTCGCCTGGCGCCTTGCTTCTGTAGGGTCCGCCATGGTCAGCACAAGACACATTTGGGGGAACTTTGTGGGGTGACTCAGTGACAGCGGCTTCCCTGGCGTGCTGGGAAGAAGCCAGAGAGAAGAAGCGTGGAGGGGAAAGGGAGAGGAGAGGGGAAGGGAGGAGAGGCGAAGGGAGAGGGAGGGAGCAAGGAAGGGAAGGAGGGAGGGGAAGATGTGAGGCCTGCAAAGTGGACCCCCCACTTCCAGGAGGAGGGTCCTGAAGATCACGGATGGCATCCAGCACATGGGGGCCCTGCACTGGGAGATGGTCTTGTGTCTCCTGCTGGCCTGGGTCACCTGCTACTTCTGCATCTGGAAGGGGATCAAGTCCACGGGCAAGGTCTGTGCTGGTAGCCTGGGCCCCCCACCCCCTCCCCCTTCGGTGCCACATGGCCCACCCTTCCTGGAGTTCCTGTGGCTGGGTCCCCCATAAAAAGGGGACAGAGGGACGGGAGGGGGGGTGACACAGCAAAGATTAGGCGTGGCTGCCTCTCTCGATTGAATTGAACCCCAAGTACTTCTGGGAAATGAACCAAGAGAAAAAGGCAGGAAGGCCACCTGGGGAAGGATTTGATCTCTGGATCGGTGTGCTTGTGAGCGTGGCACTAAACACATACGCTTCATGGCTCCCTCCTGGAGCTGTGAATGGGAGGATCAGGGTTCAAGACCAGCCTGGACAGGAAAGAGAGCCCCCCCACCTCCACCAGGGGAAGTTGGACAAAGTGATATGTGCCTTTGATCCCAGCAACGGGAAGCCTAAAATAGATTGCGACTCAGGTGGGCAGTGAGACCCTACCTCAAAACGAAAGTGGTTCAAAAGCAGGGCAGGAGCTAGGTCTAGCCAGCACGAGCCCTCGAACTCAAACCCCGCTACCACCAAAATTAATAACAATAATAGTGACAGTAATAACAATTCCGTTACCTCAGAATGATTCTCAACTAGCTTAAGACGTGGGGAGCGTCTTTGCCTTGAGCCTGACGTGTTGGACGGGGCGGTCCCAGAGGCTCTTTCTGGACTCCTGCCCCGGAGGCCTCGGAAGAGGCTTCCTTCCTAATCCGGCTGTCTGTGTGTGTGCACTAAGCATCTCAACTCTGGAGGAAGGAATCATGTGTTAAAGATTTTTTTTTCGTTCCTGACACCCTTTGCGTGTCAGCTCCAGTCAGTTCCTCTATGAGACTTATTCCTAGAGGCAGCCAGTATTTTAAGCTGGAGGGGGGTGGGGGTGGGAGGCGTGGTGTGGCTGGGAGATGGACGTGGACAGCTGTGGGGGGGGGACCAGAGGGCAGCTGGAGCAGAGCTGCCAATGTGCCCCCCCCCACGCGGGGCCAGGGTCCCCCTCCCTCCTTTCCTTCCTCACCGCGCCCTGCCTCCCTCCCTCCCTCCGCCCTCCCTACCAGGTGGTGTACTTCACAGCCACGTTCCCTTACCTCATGCTGGTGGTTCTGTTAATTCGAGGGGTGACACTGCCTGGGGCGGCCCAAGGAATTCAGTTTTACCTGTACCCCAACATCACACGGCTGTGGGATCCCCAGGTAAGAGGCCACAGAGCTGAGGGACCACCTCTTGAACCCCAGGCCCCCTCCCTTCTCTGGGCGCCTCCTGGATCCTTCCCCAAGGTTGGGGGGGCGGGGATAAGCAGATCTTTGTGGCCCCTCCTTGGTCCACAGCTGCCAGGCAAGCCTGAGCCCTCTGGCGATATTTCTTGGAGACTAGAAATAAGTCACTAAATGCCTTTACCTGGGTCTCTTTGCCCCCCCCCCATTCTCCTATCTTTCTGCATTTCTTCTTGAGCTCTCCTCCTCAGCCCACCCTTCCTTCTGCCCTCTGCTGCCCTCCCTCTGGCCACATTCCCCCCTCCCAGGCCCCCAGCTCCCCACCCTTCCCCATACCAACTGGGCTGGTGTTAAGTTTCCAATCTCCCTCTTCCCCCTCCCACCCTTCCTCCCTTGGGCCCCCAGGAGGGGCGCTGCCGCTGGTGGGTAGACTGGAGGGTGTGTGGAGCCAGGCCTGGGGCACAAGGCCTGGGCAGGGGCCCCTGATAGAATGGCTTCTGGGCTCCTCTTTGGCAGCCATTTTGAAAGCTGGCAAAGCCCACTGGGAGTGAGGCAAGCTCCACCTGAGAACCCCCACTCCCTTAGACCAGAGAGCCTTCTGCAGCCTCAAGGGGCACCCCGCAAGTAGGGAGTGCATCCTGCAAGGGGCATCTTCCTTTCGTGAATGAGAAGGGAGCCGTTTGGCTTGTCTGGGACCAGAGGGCTGTGACGGCTGCTTGGGTCACAAAACAGGAGGCCGTGGGAGGACCTTGAAGACCTAGATCTGCTTCAGAAGGGAGCCAAAGTTCACCCTGGCCTGCAGGGAGGGCCCAGAGCACAGGGGATGTGGTCTGGCAGGCTAGGCTGAAAGAGAAAAAGGAGGGGGGGGGATAGGGAGAGGGGGGAGAGGGGGATGGGGGGGAGGGAGGGAGTTCCAGAATGTGTGGCTTTGGAACAACCACTGGGGTCTGTCTTGCTATATCTGTGACGCTGTTACACAGTTTGCAAGCATGATTTCTGCTTATCCTCACAGCAAATGCATGGGCTATCCTCATTTTGCACAGAAAGAAATAGAGACCTAGAACTGGGCGTGGTAGCACATGCCTATAATCCCAGCTTCTTAGGATGTAGAGACAGGAAGTTCAAAAGCCAGCCTAGGCAAAGGTAGATGATACGTTGTCTTAAAAAAAAAAAGTGAACTTCTCTGGAGCCAGAGGTAGTAGGATTGCAATTCAAGGTCTATCTGGGGGCCCGGGCACTGGTGGCTCACGCCTGTAAACCTAGCTACTCAGGAGACTGAGATCTGAGAATAACTGTTCAAAGCCAGCCCGGGCAGGAAAGTCTGTGAGAAAACTGGAAGTGGTGCTGTGCTTCAAGTAGTAGAGCACCAGCCTTGACCTGAAGAGCTCAGGGACCCTAGACCCAGAGTTCAAGCCCCATGACTGATCAAAAAAAAGTCTACCTGAGGAATGGGGGAAAGTTGGGTGGAAGGGAGAAGGAGAAGGGGGAAGAGGAGGAGGAGGCGGCGGAAGAGGAGGAAGAAGAGGAGGTGGAAGAGGAGGAGGAGGAGGAGGAGGACATGACATAAATAGAGGCCTAGAGCTTTAAGAATTTCCTGTCTTGACACCTACAACTGGAACTGGGGCTGCTTGGTGACAGCCCCGCACACCCACACTGTATGATCTCTTGAAGACCAAGTCCCCATCTTCTCCCCTGTGTTTCTCCCTCAACCTGTTCACTCAGCACTTGTGTTGGAGGTCTGTTTGAGGTGCGGTGTTCGGTAAGCTTCTAGCGCACCATGTGGCTAGACCAGGCCGCCTATAATTCTGAGCGTTCAGAAGGACGGGGGATTCTGCAGGAGCAGCTGTAAGCACTGGGGTGCCAGCCTCGCCACCATCCTGCCAGCCCTCCCTGGCTGCAGGCCGCAGAGCCCGCCTGTCCTCCGCCTGCTTTGAGGCGGTGGGAGGGAGCTCTTTCAAGAGCAGCCAGGCCCTGGGCCCCTGCTGGAGCCAGGCCTTTGTCATCAGTGAGCTGAGCCGCACCTGCAGGGCGGGGCACCCCGCCAGAGCCCTAATTGAATCTAGTTGGCACTCCCTGGGAAGCGGGAAAGATCCAGCTGGCATTCGCCTGGTACTTGAGAAAGGTGCTAAGACCCAGGGCTTCTCTCTCCGCCAGGCATGGAGGCTGGGCGTGAGGAGCCAGGGGGGCCTCTGCCGGGCTTGCTGTGCGTTTGGGACAGGTTGCTACCTTCCCTGGGTTCCTGGGCTTGACCCTCCAGGGTGGCAGGGTCCCAGCCCCAGCCCTCATTCAGTCTGCTTGACTTCTCATTCCTGTGAGGTTTGGTAGATGGGTACGGGCAGGGGATTGATAGGGTGTCCAAAGAGCCGTGCCGAATTGTAAAGGGGAAGTCTGAACCCGGGGATCAGACATAGCTGATCATTTGTTGTTGCTGTGATTGTTACTTGAAATCGATGGCATCTCGTTATTGGCTGCAGGGTGGTCTGCTCGGGGTCTGCCCAGACTTGACTGAGACTTGGCCCAGTTTCACCTTTCCACAGACCCTGGCTCAGTGGCAAGCCTCCTTTGACAGATACTTAGGAAAGGGTGGGGACCGGTCAGAACCCCAAACTAGTGTATTGGAGGGAGTGGGTTCTGTGTGTTGTAGTCTGCTCTCTTGGCCTCCATGATCGATCTTTCACAAAGCCTATTATGCATCATTTGCAAGTTGGTTTTTTTTGTTTTTGTTTTTTTGACAGTCCTGGGGCTTGAACTCAGGGCTTGGGTGCTATCTCTGAACTTTTCACTCCAAGCTTGCGTTCTATCACTTGAACCACAGCACCACTTCTGGTTTTCTGGCGGTTCGTTGGAGATAACAAATCTCACACACTTTCCTGCCCCAGCTGGCTTTGAACTGTGATCCTCAGGTCTCAGCCTCCTGGGTAGCTGGGATGACAGGTGTGCGCCACCGGCGCGTGACTTATTTGCTTTTTCTTGTTCTAGAGGGTGGGATGGGGAAGCTTCTGTTTATGTTTCTATGTCGGGAAATTTGTGTGCCTGATTTTGTTACCGTACCCCTTTTTTCTGATGAGAAAAGAGAGGTGCAGTGCTTTGCCTGAGATCCGACAGCTAGTGGTGACGTCAGGAATTGGGCCCCCGTGAGCTCTTCCGTCATCGTGTGCCATGGCCTGACCCGAAGGTGGAAAGGACTCTTGCGGGTCATCTAAAGCTCTCTGTCCCTTCACAAGGGTTTTCCGTCCTTGCTTTTGCCTTGGCCGGCCTTGCCCAGCCGCCTCCCCCAGCTGAAGACCCATCCCAGTTTGGTTCTGGAATCTGGGGCTTCTGGAATGAGCGGGGTTGGGCGGCCTGTGGGGGGGACATCTTGCCCTCCGTGTTCCTCCACCTCCCTCTGACCCCATTCTGTCCCCCAGCGCAGCAGGCTTGTCGAGCCACAGCTGTTGAGAGTCCTGGGCCTGCCAAGCTCCCAGCAAGGGGGCTTTGGTCATAAGGCAGCACACGGGACCCCCTGAGCTCCCAACTCCGGTCCTCCTGCGGGGTCCTCTGTTCTCAGTAACCTCTCCTCCCCTGGCTTCCTGCTGCGTGAGGTGACCCAGCCAAGTCACGGCTCACTCCTAATGAGTTCTGCCCCAGCCCCGGGTCACACCCCCGGTCATCCCGGGGACGGAGCCCCCACCGGATGCAGAGGGCGTCCAATCTGGGCACGGGGCAGAGGGCTGTGCGCTCACCACCAGGATGCACCTACCTGGGCCAGAGCCCTGGCCTTGCTGGGGGGAGGCCTTGGGGATGGGCTCAGGGCCCATGCTGCCAGGCCTCCCAACTCCTGAGGACCTACAGGAGGTAGGAAGGCCCACAGGACAGTGCTGAAGGCCCCTGCATGTTCCTGAAGGTTCCTGAAGGTTCCTCCATGTTCCTGGGGTAGGGACTGAGCACAACATTCGGCAGGAGCGGCCAGACCGGTTCAGAGACCTTCCCCCATTGCTCTGTACCCCCCACCCTCCTCCTCTGACTCCTCTCCCTGGTGGCGGCTCCTCGGGGAGCAGGATGGGGGGGAGCTGGAGACACTCTCCAGTTCGTGCGCTGTCTCTCCCCACTCGGTCCTTGGGCCTGTAGACATAGGAATGTAGCGAGAGGGGGCTCCCTGGCTGGGTCCCCCAGCGCCAGATGTTAGGGGTCATGAGGCCTACTAGGAAGTTTTGGAGATGTATGCTTTCTGAGCTGTGCTCCTGGCTTTGAGATTCGGCATTTTCAATGGGGAATGCTGGCTGAAGAGTCGCTCAGACCCGGAGGTGCTCGGCCTGCTTAGGGCGCCCCCCTCCCCCAGCCCCCGGCCCAGGCCCTGCTGTGTGACGAATGGACACGTGGGTTGAGCTGACCCTGGGAGAGGAAGGGGTGAAGGCTTGAGAAAGGGGGGGCAGGAGAAGGCAGGAAGGGACTGTGTGTGTGGATCAGCCTGTGCTGTTGGTGGTAAGTGGAAAGCAGGAGTCTGTTTGGGGGCCTTGGCGGAGGTGGGGGTTGGGCGAAGGCATGGATGGGGTGATGGGGTGTCCTCTCAGCTAGGAGCGCAGGATGCCTGCCCTGGCCACGTCCGCACCTGCAGCCTGATGGTGGTGCTTGTCTTCGGAGGTGGGCAAGCCGGGGGCCTGGAGGGGAGGGGGGGACAGCCGCAGCACACCCCCTCCTGCCGCTCAGCTTGGCCCCTTTCTGCACATCCTTTCTCTTCAGGATGTTTTTCTAGCTGGGAGATCTAAACCCCCACAGGCACGGCCGATGAGCCAGCTGAGATAATAAGGAGGCCCCAGTGGAGAGCCAGGGTTCAGGAGGGACAAAGCTCCACCTTCCAGCTGACCCTGACATCGAAGCCTCCCACCCTTAGAGACTCCTCGCCCACGGGTCACACTGCCGTGACACTTGGTAGCGGAGGAAAAAGTGGAGACAGAACCCCGGCCTATTTCCATGAGCAGACACTGGACCCTCCACCTCCCTCAAACCTAGATCCTTGTCCTTCCCTCCCATCCCCTCCTCAGCGTCTTTTCCTTTGAGCTCTTAGTTCCTCTGCCACCCTGGTAGTGCCTGAGAAACTCCACGCAAGGACCCAGGCTCCCATTGGCTGAGAACAGAGTTCTCCCCACCCCCTTGCCAGGGCGTGGCCGGGCCTTCCTGGAGTTCAGCTTTCTCCTCCCTTTGCAGGTGTGGATGGATGCGGGCACCCAGATCTTCTTCTCTTTCGCCCTCTGTCTGGGGTGCCTGACGGCCCTGGGTAGCTACAACAAGTACCACAACAACTGCTACAGGTGACTGCCATGGGGTGGGCGGTGCAGAGCCTCAGCCTGCACCTCCCCTGCCCTTCCGGCTAGGCTAGGGGCGATACACCCGGTCCACTCCACCCCCACCTCACCTTCTAGCGCCCCGCTAGCCACTCGGAGGTGAAAAGAGCAGACTTTAGGAGGAACAGGGAGATTGCTCAATGGTTGTGACTGGCTGGAAGATCAAGGTTAACCCTGCCCAGAGTGCTAGCATTGCCAAGCCCTGGTAGCTCAGCCTGGGAACTGGGCCTGGGGGCGTCAAATACTTACCCTAGCTACGTCTGCCACAGGCCTTTCCTCCCCTGCTGTCTTCTCCCCAGTGTTGCCTGGCTCTGCTCAGAGAACAGAAGCCAACTTCACTAGTGTTGTTGTTACTGTTTATTGCTGATGTTGTTGTGTGGGAGCTGATTAAGCCCAGGCTAGCCTTGGACTCTGGATCCTCCTTGCCTCAGCCTCCCCTTGTGCTGGGATTATGGGTGTCATTGTTCCACTAACGCCTAGCCTATGCCGATTCCTTTGAGAACCAGGTCCATGACTGAGCTGGGGATGGGGCGGGAGGGAGGAAATGGGGCAGAGACAACACTCTGAGCTCCCCGAGTTCTACCAGGGAGTCCCACCAGTTTGAAGCCCCCCATCCCCATTTGGAGCAGTAGATTCAGAGTCCCCGAGGCCCTTTCTAAGATCCAGGGAAGGGCCGGACGCCGGTGGCTCACGCCTGTCACCCTAGCTACTCAGGAGAATGAGATCTGAGGGTCACAGTTCAAAGCCAGCCTGGGCAGGAAAGTCTGTAAGACTCATCTCCAATAAACCACTAGAAAACCAGAAGCGGCACTGTGGCTCAAGAGGTAGAGCGATGGCCTTGAGCTGAAGAGCACAGGGACAGCACCCAGGCCCAGAGTTCAAGCCCCACAACTAACCAAAAAAACGATCCAGGAAAGGTGCCAGGCTGCCCCCGGGGAGCCGGAGCCTCGAGCAGCCCCCTTCTGACCAGGCCTGTGCTCCCCACAGGGACTGCATCGCACTCTGCTTCCTCAACAGCGGCACCAGCTTCCTGGCTGGCTTCGCCATCTTCTCCATCCTGGGCTTCATGTCTCAGGAGCAAGGCGTGCCCATTTCTGAAGTGGCTGAGTCAGGTGAGAGCGGCTTCGGGTTAGACGCGGCGCTTTTGACCCACCACGATCTGTTGGGTAAACGCAGACTTGGCCTGTTCCCCTCAGGCCCGGCCACTTCCGCGGGGGCCCCCGGGGGGAGCCTCGCAGAGATTCATTTTGCCTGCTGGCTCCTGAGCTCAGTCTAAGTCTGAAACTTCTGGTTTGGGGGGCGGGGGCCATCTTGGATCTGCGATCCAGGTTGGGTGGTGGCACCTTAGGAATTCAGGCACCGGTAGAGGCTTGGGTGGCGCTCTTGGTGGGGGCGAAGGGCACTGTGGGGTAGAATTTCTTCCAGCTCTGTGATTCCGTGGCCCATCCGGGGAGGCTCAGGGATCACAGAGACCAGAAACTGGCTTAGGCCCTGGGTTGTGTTCCTTGCCCTCCCCCGACCCCTGACCCCTGACCCCCGTAGGCCCTGGCCTCGCTTTCATCGCCTATCCTCGGGCTGTGGTGATGCTGCCTTTCTCGCCTCTGTGGTCCTGCTGCTTCTTCTTCATGGTGGTCCTCCTGGGACTAGATAGCCAGGTATCAGAAGGGGGAGCAGACAATACCAGGTTGAGCCTTCTGCCCCAAGAGACCTTAGGAAGCTGGGGACTGAGCACAAGTTTGGACGTGATCCTTCTGGGGGACCCAGAGGCACTTTGCAGGAGCCTGGAGAAGGGAGGCCAGGACAGGGGGGGTCAGGGCGAGGGGTGGATGGACGGACAGCGGGAGCAGAGCGCACTGTGAGCCAGCCGGCAGGGCTCTGTGGGAGCTCTCCTTCCCCTCTGATCCTTTTGCCGTCTCATCAGTTTGTGGGTGTAGAAAGCCTGGCAACGGCGGTGGTGGACCTGCACCCCAGGATATTCCGCAAGAAAAACCGGAGGGAGCTCCTCATCCTCGCCGTGGCTGTGTTCTCCTTCCTGGTCGGCCTGATCATGGTCACAGAGGTGAGCAGCCGGCCAGGGAAGCGGGGACCTGAGGGAGAGGCTAGTGGGGAAAGGGAACGGGGGGGGGGGGGGGGGGGCCAAGCCCCTCACCAGGCGGGGCACGCGGCTGTGGTTCTAGGATTCTAGTCCCCCGCCCTCCCACCAGCCCCATTTTGGCTCCAGGGGAAGCGAAGATGTATGAAGAGTCTGCAGGAGGTTCATCGGCTGGGAAGAAAGAGAGCCCATGGTTTCTTAGGCAGGGAGGGAGGGACCCCGGGGCCCAGCGACATTCCAAGGAGAGGCAGGGCAGTGGACCAACCACAAGTCCTCACCCGATCCCGCCTCCCACAGTGATAACAGAGAAGTTAGTGTCCAGGTCTACCATCTATGTCCTCTTAGGACCTGTGTGTCCCCCCCCCCCCCCGTCCTGCCCCGTGGTCCTTGCCAACTGGGCTCTGCACCCCAAAGGTGTGAGGCTGAGGGGCACCAGGGCCCACCCCACCTGTTTGCTCCGCCCATGCAGGGGGGCATGTACGTGTTCCAGCTCTTTGACTACTACGCGGCCAGCGGCATGTGCCTCCTGTTCGTGGCCATCTTCGAGTCCCTCTGTGTGGCTTGGATTTACGGTGAGTGGCTTTCCCCCTGGATCCAGACCCCAGTTCTCTCCCCTCCACCCCCAGCCCCAGAACCTCTTAGACCAAGGGGAGACACCGGCATCTTTTCCAGGACTCCACCCACTGGAGACCTCTTCCGTGTGGTCTCTCACCATTGCAGGGCCTGGCCAGTGATGACCACACCTAGACCAGCTCTGGTGGGGCCGTCACCTGTCTATACACACCTCCTGCCTTTAAACACCCTCCGAAAGCAGAGTCAGGGCCCCCACACCAGATTCTTCCCCCTGTCATTTATACAAAGGCAGCCATGCTACCTTCTGATTATGGTCCTGGCCTGTCCCAGGCTGTGGGCCCCACCCCCACCCCCACCTTCCGATTCCTGAGACTCTGAAGAAGGACCTTCCTCCCCTCTCCTTGTGCTCTTCGTGGCAGGGGCCGGGCGCTTCTACGACAACATTGAAGATATGATTGGATACAGGCCATGGCCGCTGATCAAATACTGCTGGCTCTTTTTCACCCCAGCTGTGTGCATGGTAAGGAAAAGCCCCCAGGGATACAGCCAGGTGTTCAGGAGGGAGAGTCTTGGCTCCAAAATGGACTTCTTCCTAGGAGTTGAGGTATAGCTTTTCATTCACCCTCCACTGGAACTGACATCTACCACTCCAAGTCTACATCGGATTGTCAGGAAAGGGGAGGGGAGAGAAGTCCTGGACCCCCTCCTCACCCCCACTCTGAGTGTGTGTGTGTGTGTGTGTGTGTGTGTGTGTGTGTGTGTGTGTGTGTTCTGTCCTGGACAAAAAGTAGGATGGGGGCCAGGCACCAGTGGCTCACACCTGTCATCCCAGCTACTCAGGAGGCTGAGGTTGGAGGATTGAGATTGAAGTGCACGGAGCCCCAGCAGGCAGCTGTGGGGTGGGGGCTGCGCGGGGAGGGCAGGGGACCCACCCCCTCAAGCCCTTCCTCTCCCCAGGCCACCTTCATGTTTTCGCTGATCAAGTATACCCCACTGACCTACAACAACAAATACACCTACCCCTGGTGGGGTGACTTCTTAGGCTGGCTGTTAGCTCTGTCTTCCATGATCTGCATTCCCGTCTGGGGTGTCTACAGGCTCAGCACCCTCAAGGGGCCCTTCAGGGAGGTAAGAAAGGGAGGGAGGCAGGCCGGAAAGGAGCGGGGGGGGGGGGGGGCGGGGGGGGGGGGAAGGCGGGTTGGGCGGCCTGCAGGGGGCAGGAGCCCGTGTCCCCGGAGAGATGGACGGACGAGACGATGGCCACTCCACTGTCCTTGCAGAGACTCCGCCAGCTCCTGTGCCCAGCCGAGGACCTGCCCCGGCAGAACGTGGCAGGACCCCCCACCCCCCTGACGCCCAGGACGTCTCTTCTCAGACTCACAGAGCTGGAGTCTCACTGCTGAGGGACAGGCCCGCCCGTGGCCATGCCGCCAGTTTGCCTGGCGGGGAGGGGATGGCGGCCCAGGCCGCGGCAGCCCTCGGTGCTCTTTCTGCTCCCCGCCATCCACCCGGGGCAGAAAGGACAGAAGCGGGGGATATCTTCCAATCCACCCTGTGAGCTGGGGCAGGGGTCCCTCCCACCTCCACTGCCCCCACTCCAGAGGTGGCCCCCGACAGTGACACACAGCCCCCGGAGCGCAGCGCTGCAGGGGCGACAGTGTGGCTGGCCGCTGGGCCTCCTTCCCGCCGGTGCCATTAAACCCGTCTTCCTCCCACCACCGCTTGCAGTCCGGCCTGGTCTCTGCCTCGGCCTCGTGCCTTCCTCCGTGGATTCCCGTGGGCCACGCGGCGGCGGGAGGTGTTTGATGCGGCCTGGCGGGGGGGGGGGGGGGTGCAGGGAGAGGCAAGGGCCACGTGGAAACCCTCCTTCACCAGACCATGGAGGGGAGGAGGCGGCCATGCGGCTCCCTGTGCTTCCCTTATCATTCCCTCCTCCTCCTCCTCCTCCTCCTCCTCCTCCCCCTCCTCCTCCTCCTCCTCCTCTTCCTCCTCCTCTTCCTCCTTCCTCTTCCTCCTCATCCTGGAAGGGAGATGGAGGGAAAGGTGAAGCATCTGATTGTAAGAAGGAGGCGGGTAGCTTCCTCCATGCCCACATTCCCACACTGTGTGTGCCCACCCCCGGGGCTGGAAAGGGCTGCCAGCCACGCCCTTGCAGGCCCCAAGTAGGTCTGGGGAGGGGAGGCTTAGTGGAGGAAAACACTACCCCAGCAAGGCCGGGAGAGGGACCCTGCCCTCCAGGGACAGGCCTGCAACCGGACCCGGTGCTGTCGCCGCCAGCTGTGGCCACAAGAGGGTGGCACTGTGGCTCCACTGTGGGGCCTGAGCAGCCCAGACAGATCCTGGAGCTGCGGCTGCAGGGGACGGAGGAAGGAAAGCCCCATCCTGCCTGCTGCCGTGGCCCCGGGGGGGTCCCACAGGCGCCGCAGCCGCAGCTGTGTTTGTGGAGATGTTTGAACACACACAGCTGCACGGCTCACTGGGCTAAGCCTGGGTCTGCCTGTCCCCCGCACAGTACACGTCCCCTGCGACTCAGAGCTGCTGTCATCCGGGGTTTCCCTGGCTGGCTTTCTCACTCATCAGGTTTGGGGGGAATGCACAGAGGTCTTCTCCATGTCTCCGAGTTTGGATTTCTTGGAGTTGGGAAAAATTCAGGGAGAAAGAATAATGACAGCAGCGGCCCTCCCTGAGAGCTAACCTGGGCCGCTCTCCAGAGGAGTGACTGACTGGTTGGACGAGGCTCAGATGTGCCAGGCTCGGTCACGGTCTTCTAGGGGAGAAGTAGATCCTTAGGAGTCGCTTGCCAAAACTCGGGATACCACATTCCCCCACCATCTGCATCATCTGACAGTGTTCCCAGGAAGGCCGCTCCGTGGGGACCCACCAACACCGTGGGCCCAACCCCATAAACAACCCATGGCGAATGCCATCAAAGGCTGGGGCACAGGAAGGGAGCGTGATGGCTTCATTCGGGTGGTCTGGAAGATGGCTCTAGGGATGTAGTATCTGTCAATCACTGGGGGTGATCAAAGGCACAAGAGTCTGCTGAGCCCAGGAAGATATGTAGGGGGGATTTGGTGACGGAAATGGTGAAGTGGTGGAACACAATATGAAAAAAAAAAAAAACAGCCATTGGTACACAAGAAATAGTGATCAGGAAATAGTGCAAGGAATAGGTTGCTGGTCCGGGCTTGTGTGTCTAGCTCACACTGCGTGTCTTTACTCATCGGAATTTGTGTTCATTTTCCAGGTGGTGAGTGAGAGTGTGCGTGCCACCTGCACAGGTTTGTGACAGGGCTCAGAGGAGATGCAGGGTGTGCGAGCTGGCCCCGTCTTACCTGGGCCATGGCTACCGGGGAGGAGACCTTCTGCCTGGCCAAGGCGGGGAAGCGGGAAGTATGGCTGGCCAAGGGTAGGGTTGGCCCTGGACTTGGTGTTCGCTTTCCCTGACTGGAAAGGATCAGGCCTGGATCCCAGCAGTTCCAGAGGAAGGAAGCGGGTACCTGTCACACGCAGAGGCCGCACTCGTTAGAGCAGAAAGGCAGCAGGTAACTTGAGCACAGAGTCGGGGAGCTGCGGAGTTCTGAGAAGATGCCCATGGCTGTGGGAAGCGCTTAGTGAGTACGGAGCCCACTGGGCCCTGCCTTGAGCCGTCAGATCGTGGGGCCTGAACTCTGGGCCTGGGCACTGTCCCTCAGCTCTTCAGCTCAAGGCTAGCACTCTACCACTTGAGCCACAGCGCCACTTCCGGCTTTTTTCTTTTTGCTTATGTGGTGCTGAGGAATCGAACCCAGGGCCTCATGCATGCAAGGCAAGCGCTCTACCACTGAGCCACCTTCCCAGCCCTAGCTGTCAGATCTTGCACACAGGTACACCAGGGCTTCCCAGCCCCTTGTTATCTGTACACAAACGTGTACTGGCCAAGCACCCTCCTTTGGACCCTTCATGCCTGCTAGCTGTACGAGCTTGGGCAGGTTAACCCTCTCGGGGTCTCAGTTTTCTTTTCTTAAAAAATGAGAAAAATACTTCTTCCATCATAATATGATAGAGTCCAGCAGAGAGTTCAGGGAAAACCGTCCTGTGACCCATCCAAGCAAGTCCCTCCAGCTTACCGCAGCTCCAGCCCCCCAGCTGCAGGCCCGGGGAGCGCTCAGACACATCCTCACTGTCCCCACAGCCCTAGGGCTGGAGAGAGCCCTGATGCAGCTGGGGGGCCTCATGTCCTGCATGGCGTGAAGCCAGAGAGCAGACCACACCTTCATCTGTCCCCTGCTTCCAGAAGAACAGAAGGCTCTAGAAAAGGGACAACAAGGGCTAAGAATGCAGTTCAGTGGTAGGGTGCTTGCCTAGCATTCGTGAAGCCCTGGGTTCGAATCCTCAGGACCACATACGCAGAAAAAGCCGGAAGTGGCGCTATTGCTCAAGTGGTAGAGTGCTAGCCTGGAGCAAAAGAAGCTCAGGGACAGTGCCCAGGCCCCGAGTTCAAGCCCAGGACTGGCAAAATAAGAGGGGGGGGAAACAACTAGAATTATTGTTTTCCAGTTGCTTCTACCCATCCATGCATTTATATATATCCATTCACCTATCTATCCATAGATCCATCCATCATCCATCTATTTATTTTTATTTATATTTTTTGGGGGGGTCCTGTCGTGGGGCCTGAACTCAGGGCCTGGGCGCTGTCCCTCAGCTCTTCAGCTCAAGGCGAGCGCTCTACCACTTGAGCCACAGCGCCACTTCCGGCTGTTTTTTCTTTTTGCTTATGTGGTGCTGAGGAATGGAACCCAGGGCCTCAGGCTTGCAAGGCAAGCGCTCTACCACTGAGCCACCTTCCCAGCCCTCATCCATCTATTTATCCATCATCATCTGTCCATCCATCATCTATGATCCATCCATCTGTCCAATGTGAAGTACTTGCCCTAAGATCACACTGTATTAATTGATACAGAAAGATACAGAGGTTCCCATCCATTTAGTGTGCATGTTCTAGAAAAGAGTATGCGGTAGTGCCAGCCTAGATTTTTGGGGACTGAGAGGCCCAAGTTCAAATCCCAGCTCCGTCATTGACTCGTACATGGAACAAAACATTTAGCTTTCTACTCAGCCCAGCGTCTTCATCTATAAAAGTGGGAGGGATCACTCCTCCATTTCAAGGCTCCTCAGGGGATCAGAAGAGACAACACCTCCATGCCTAGCCTGAGGTCGGTGCTCAGGAAACGGGGTCCACTCCAGCCTCTCCGAAAGGCTGCAAAGGCCAGGTCAGTGAGAACATCCTGGGGGTGGGGGTCGTGGGCAGTGCTTCTTAGCTACAGAGAGGTCACCGATGCATGTCACCGGATTTCATCTGAGTATGGAGGGAACCCAGCCTTGGCTCCATTTTGTGCGAAGGCAGTATCCTGCATCCTGAGTTTCCAGTCAGGAGTCGGATTCACCGGGCTAGAGGTGAGTACTGGGAGATTGGAGGTTGGGGTGGACTTGAATGGGGGGGGGAGGGAGGGTGCTCAGAGTTAAAGGGGTGAGGGATGAGGCAGCTTATGGGGGGGAGAGGGGGTAGAGGGGATCAAACTGCACTCCCCGGAAGAGAACAGTGTGAGTCTTTCATTCTTGGAGAGTTACCACCCGCCCATCGCCTGGATTCCACTGGCTCCCGGGCCACAGGTGCTGTGGTGGATATGGGGTGGATGCTTAGCAGTGGCCATTTCACTGACTCGTACCTGCTTTCCTTGGTGGGGAGCCCCACGGGAGAGGCTGGGGGTGGGGGTTACTTGATGGAAAATTACAGACCCAAGATTCTGCCTTCACACCCCTCCACTGCTGCGAAGTTCTGAGAGAAGAGGAAGAAGATGTAAGGGGAAATTTCCCATCTCCCCACCACTTCCCCTCCCCCCTGAAGCAGAAGACACATCTTGTCTTGAAGTGGGGGAGGGGGGAGGAGGGGGAACACTGGGCTTGGGATGGCCCTGTACCCCAGTACCCAGGAGCAGTGAGGAGAAGAGATTCTGTGCTGAGAAGCCCACGGGACACATGGCGCATTGGCAGGGCGAATGCCCGAGGGCTGGGAGCCGAGCAGGGCATGGGGGGGCGCCCCTCACCAGGCAGCCCCTCTTACGAGGTCTTCACACACACGGCCGCCACGCGGAGCACCTGCGCTCTGCCTTTTCAGGGTGGGAAACTGAGGCTGCGGTCCTGGGTGACAGGAGAGGGACAGGAAGGGAGGGGTCCTCTCCCCCCCTCCCCCAAGCTTACCCCAGGACAAGGTGGCTCTGGGCATTTTCTCTAGGAAAATCCCAGGGAGAGGGCAGTGGCTGGTGAGGCCCAGGGCTTTGCTGGAAGCCACTGAGGGCAGGTATTGGGTGGAAAAGTCCAGTATGTGATTCACCCTCCTCCTGTGCCCGCGTCAGGGAGGCCAGCCCCCCTGCCAGGCTTCTCCGTGTCCAGCCTGGACGTTGGCCGCTCTGGCGCTCCTTGTCTAGTAAGAGACAGCCCTACCTGGCCCAAGGGTGGAGGTGGGGGGAAGGGGACCAGGACTGGGGGGAGCTGAGGTCAGGCTGCGTGCGCCCCTTCCTCTCTGCCTGAGGGAGCAGCTGTGCCCACAGGAAGGTGACCGGCTTGTGAAGGAGGGGGCTGAGGCTGGGGGCGGGGGGGGGGGGGAGGGCAGAGGTCTTGGCTTCCTGAGGTTGGATGTTGGGATGTTGTAACCCCGGTTCACAGCCTTTTGGTCTCAGCCCCTCCTGTGCTTGTGTGCTTCTGATCCTCTCCCCACGGACAGACAGAAGGCAGACACGAGAGACAGAGCAGCCTCCGAAGCACGTGGATGGGACTCTGCACGGGCAGTGTGAGACCCTGCCCCTTCGGGTCCGTACGCTCAAGGCCGTGTCCCCAGGACCTAGGAACGCAGGTATGTGTGGTGCAGCTGACCCCCGGGGACTGAGGTGAATTGGGACCCCCTCCCCAATCTCTTACTGCTGCCCCACAGGGCTGAGACCTGGAAGGCAGGACTTGATGGACTTGTGTGTCTGGGGGTCGGGGGTACATAGGCCCCTGGGGCCGCAGGCAACGGGTGCTCCCGAGTGACCTCAATTACCGCAGCATTGGGGATCCTCCAGGACAGGCTCACAGACAGAGAACTGACCCCCAGGGAGCTGGGTGAAAGATGGGAAGGACAGGAGTAGCCAGGGCCTGCCATGGCTGGGGTGGGGGGGACCCAGGCTCGGTACTCCCCTCTGCGTGGAGGGAGGGAGGCTGGGCGTGTTTGTGTCCTAGGAGATCTGAGGGGAGGAGCTGGCAGCCCGTGGCAGGCCCTGCCGCCCACGGGGTGTGAGGGAGACCGGCTTTGGTGCCATGCACACAGGTATGCGTGTGCAAAGGAACGTGACGGACACCGGCCTCTGTGTGTGTGTGTGTGTGCGTGTGCGCGCACACACACAGGGGTGTTGGTATGTGGGTGTGAGCTGGAGCAGGAGTCGGGCCATTCCTGGGCTGGCTGGGGACAGACAGCCGCGGAACGTGTCACCGCCCATGCCCAGCCCTCCCATGCCCGCCCGAGCCCCACCAGGGGGGTGGGGGGGCGGCTCCCTCCACCTTGCCGTTTCCCGAACACTGAATACTCAGTGCAGACCAGTTTGCTCCTGGAGGATGGTGAGGCCCATCGCCCTCCCCATCCCCTCCCACCCAGCTTGGCCAAGCCAGGGGACAGCAGGAGGGTGGGGGGGGGGGGACCACCATCAGCTCCTGGGGTGGGGCCTGAGAACAGAGAGCTGTCCAAGCCTCCTCTCGGCTGCGGGGCTCTGTCATTGCGTGGTTCTTAGCAAGCTGGCCAGAGGTGGGAGGGCACGCTGTGATGGGGCTACACCTCCCTCCACTCTTCCTTCCCTCCTTCCCTCCCTCCCTCCCTCCTTCCCTCCCTCCCTCCCTCCCTTTCTTCTTGATTTGTTGTTGTTGTTTTGAGACAGGATCTCATTATGTAGTTCTGCCTACATAGGGAACACCAAACCTCTGAGTGCTGAGATTACAGGAGTAAGCTACCATATGTGGTAGCCCTTTTAGCTGTGTGTGTGTGTGTGTGTGTGTGTGTGTGTGTTCCCGCACACCAGTCCTGAGGCTTGAACTCAGGGCCTGGGCTCTTTATCTGAGCTTTTTTTTTTTTTTTTCCTCCTCTCCAGGCTGGCCCTCTATCATTTGAGCTCTACTTCTAGGTCTCTGGTGGTTCACTGGAGATAAAAGTCTCACAGACTTTCCTGCCCAGGCTGGCTTAAACCAGGAACCCCCACATCTTAGCCTCCTGAGTAGCTAGGATGACAGGTGTGAGCCACCGGTGCCTGCTGGCCCTTTTAGCGTATGTGTGTGTGTGTGTGTGTGTGTGTGTGTGTGTGTGTGAAAGTTTGCTAAGTGCATTTATTTTTTTTTATTTATTTATTTATTGTCGGTCGTGGGGCCTGAACTCTGGTCCTGGGCGCTGTCCCTCAGCTCTTCAGCTCAAGGCTAGCGCTCTACCACTTAAACCACAGCCACTTCCGGCTTTTTCTGCTTATGTGGTGCTGAGGAATTGAACCGAGGGCCTCATGCATGCAAGGCAAGCACTCTACCACTGAGCCACCTTCCCAGCACCCCCTTTTTACTTTTGAAAAGAACCCAACATGGAGATCTTTATGTCGCTTTTCTGTGTGTCTATATCCCCTCCTGACATTTCTTTCCCAAGTCTGTCTTAAGTCCCTCTTGCTGCAATTTTTAGCCTCTTTCCCCTTGACTTACCTTGGCTCTGAGCCAGCTTCCCTCATTCCGGTTTTCCTTCTTACCCATAAGTTTTTGTTCTTCCCGATAATCTTCTTTTCTGGTAAACATGTTTAAATTGTTACGATAAAGGTGATGAACAGAGGGGTTACAGTTACGTAAGTCTGGTAAAGAAGAATGTTTTTTATAACATAAAAAAGTTACGTCCAGGTCTACGCGTCAACTCTTCTCTCTCTCCCCTCTCTCTGCCCGTATGAATGCATCCCCAGATCCCGCGCCCACACGGGGTTCTGTGACTTGCTCCCCTGTCTGGCTCTCCTCTGTCTCTCGCTTCATTCATTCCTTCATTACTGCTCTTCCTGCCAGATCCCTTGGCAGTCCTGATGTTCGGGGGCTTACTCTGACCCTGTTACCCCATGTCTTGGCAAACAAAGACAATCTCTTCTTGTCTTTTACCATTCTCATCATTATCCACCCCACCCCCCTTCCATTATCCTACTTGAGCAAGGGGCCCTTCTGTCTTCCAGGGAGACTTAAAGCTCAGAGAAGAGGTGTGTCTCCCCCAAGGTCACACAGCAAGACCCAGCTTTGCTACTGGTCATCTTGGTAAGTGTATTCAGCAGCTCCTCAAGAGTCTGTCTTACTGAGCAGCTGCTCTATGCCACCTCCTGAGCCTCCCCGCTTTAGCCTCTGCTAGTCACTACGATAAGGTGCTTGAGAGGCTGTGGTGGGGATTAGGGATGTGGTCGGAAGAGGCCCACGGAGGTTCATCCAGTGTCAGCACTCAGTGTTTCTCAGCCGTTAACCCTTTGTGGTTATTGTTGTGATGAGTAGGCCTGCCTTGGACTCAGGCTTTTTGGTGTTCTTGGATCTGTGTGTCCGAGTTCATTCATTTATGCTTGATGACAATTCGGGAGCCATTCCTCAGGGGGATGGCCCCCATTCAGAACTGGCCACAGGAGCATGAGCTCTGGGGGTCTGGCCCGCAAAGCCCCCCCCCCATGGGTTTGCTGTCTTACTCCCTCCCCTCCCTCTTCCCTTGAGCTCCAGGTCTTGGACTTGCAGCCTAGTGGCTCTTTCCTTGTTCTCCGTCCGGGCTGAGCTTTCCATCCATGCCTCTGTGTGGGTTCCAATACCAGAATTTTACCCCGCCACGCTTTCCCCTGCCCGCACCCTCCCAGTCACCTTCAAAAATTTCCATAACCTCCAATCGCTCCTGCCCACGCCTTTCTAACTGACTTGGGCTTGGGCTGTTGCCTGGGTTAAAAGGACCAACAAATAAACACAGATTCTTCCTTAATAAAAAAAAAAAAAAAAAAAAAAAGACTCCCCTGTGTTTCCTTAGAGCCTTAGAGAAACATGGAGCCTTGCTAGACGGCTCAGGCTCACTTCACTCTCCTGGTGTCTCCTGGAGGTGAGGGGCGGGGGGGGGGGGGGCGGCTCCCCCCCCACAGCCGGGCATCTCCACCTGGCATTTCCCTAGGGGGAGAGGTAGCAGGGCCTCAGGCCCTTGTGAGTCAGATCAAGATTCTGCACACCGCCTGGCATTTGACAGACCCATGAGAGGGACAGAAATAGCGCTGAGAGCGGAGGGGGGCTGGGGAGCTTTGTCTCCGGGGGGTGGGTGGGGAGCAGGGAGAAGAGGGGGTGTCCTGCCTGCCCAGGATGGGTAGCTCCTGCTAGGACTCCTCTGGGGGGGACCCATCCCCATCATCTGACCCTCTTAGGTCACCTCCTACCAGGTGAGGGTGCTCTGTGACCTCTCTGGCACAAGCCGCGTCCCCTTCCTGGGAGATACAGTGGGGAGGGGGAGACAAGGAAGGAATGGCTTCCTCAGGCGGCTGGCACTTGCTGCTGGTGCTGCCCAAGGTTCCCACCTAGCCTTGTTCAGAGGCCCCACCTTCTGCTTGCCTTCCGATCGCTTGAACGCCCAGCCCTGGTGGACTCCAAGCGAGAAGGATCCATCACAGTGTGCCTGGCCTGGAGCTCCAGGCACCCACTCGGCTACCCCTGCCCTTTGACCCCAACCCCCCCCCCCACACACAGCCTATGATCCCCTCTGACCTGGAGGCCAGCATCTGGGCAGGTGTCACTTGGAGAACACAGACCATCTGGGCGGAGGGGCTGGTGAGATGGTGGCTGCCCATATAGATCAAAAAGGCACTTGAACTACAGAACCCAGGCTTGGGTTTAGGTCCCAGCTCTTCCTTATTGGTCTTGAGCAAGCAAGTCACTTGAGCTGCAAACCTGGCCAGGTCAGAGGTGCTTCCTGGATGGGAAACGGGGTCTCGTGGCTCCTTGGAACAGAGTGGAACTTTAGGTGGAAATGCCAGGCAGAGTTTGAGAAGGAAAACAATATAGCCGGTTGTGGGGCAGGGCTGGGGGGGGAGGGGATGGTGCAGGTAGGTGGTAGAGCAACGGCCCAGCAAAGCATAAGGCCCTGAGTTCAAACACCAGTACCAGTACCACAAAAAAAAAGCAATATGCGAACAGCAAAGACCGGGCAGAGGGCAGAATGGGCTGACGCACATACGCACCAGAGTTCACGGCTCCTTCCTTCTCCCCCAGCCTTGGCCTCTCTCCTCCCGCCCTGCCCCATCCACTCCGTGGAGATGGAGAGGAAAGTGGCAATCCACGAGGCTGGGGCTCCTGTGATCTCCTGGGTCCCTGAGGAAGGAGAGACCAGGGACCAAGAAAGCGAGGACCGGGTGAAGGACCGGGGCCAATGGACCAACAAGATGGAGTTCGTGCTGTCCGTGGCTGGGGAGATCATCGGCCTAGGCAACGTCTGGAGGTTTCCTTACCTCTGCTACAAGAATGGAGGTGGTGAGTTCACCTGGGTTGGCATTGTGGGCAGTGCCTGCCCAGACCCCTCTTTCTGGCCTGAGGGGGAGCTGGTGGGCTCTAACCTAGCAGCCCTTGTGGCTGGCTCACACATTCATTTTACCTCTTGAAAGAATTCCCTGTATTCTTCCTGGAGAAGTATGTATTATAAATTCCAGAAATATTCCAGGAAGGAGGAAAAAAAAGAAACACTCAAATTTAGGGATTCTCCTAAACAATATAATACACACACACACACACACACACACACACACACACACACACACACACACACACACATATTGTTTAGGAGAATCCCTACCATATATATATACCATATATATATATATGGTATTTATTTATGCCAGTCCTGGGGCTTGAACTCCGGGCCTATTTGCCTTCGTGCTCAAAGCTAGCGCTCTACCACTTGAGCCACAGCACCACTTCTGGCTTTTTCTGAGTAGTTTATTGGAGATAAAAGAGTCTTACAGACTTTCCTGCCTGGGCTGGCTTTGAATTGTGATCCCCAGATCTCAGCCTCCTGAGTAGCTAAGGTTACAGGCATGAGCCACCAGTGCCTGGCAAAAAATACATGTTTTTAAAAGTGGAATCTGAACTGAAAATGTAAAAGCTTTTCTTTCTTTTTTATTTTTTTTGTGGTCATTCATGGGGATTGAACTCTGGGCCTGGACACTGTCTCTGAGCTCTTTTTTGCTCAAGGCTAGTCTCTACCACTTTGACCTACAGAGCCAATTCTGGTTTTCTGGTGGTTCATGACAGATAAGAGTCTCTCAGACTTTCCTGCCGGGCTGGATTTGAACTATGGTCCTCAAATCTCAGTCTCCTAAGTAGCTGGGATGACAGGTGTGAGCCACTAACCACCCATCTGCTTTTTTTTTTTTCTTGTGGTGATTCCCCATATAATGGGTCATAACACCTATTTCTACAGCCTTTCCATTGTGCTAGGCCTTACAAACAATCTAGAAATGATTTCTGGTTGCTAGGAGGGAGATCATCAGGTCCTGTGCTGTTTTTCTTGGAAGGTCTTGAACACTGTGGGTTTGGGCAGCGAGGTAGATTCTAGATCAGTCTTCCCCCAGTCATAGTAGGCCAACTACTAGGGAAAAACAGACCGCCACCCCTGTACCCTGATCCCTCATTTTTAGTGAGATCTGGATCCCAATCTTCGATCCAGGAAGGGGATAATCCTAGCTACTCAGGAGGCTGAGATCTGAGGATTGCAGTTCAAAGCCAGCCTAGACAGAAAAGTCAGTGAGACTTCTACCTCCAATTCACCACCAAAAAAAACAGAAGTGGAGGTGTAGCTCCAGCCTTGAGCAAAAAGGCCCTGAATTCAATCCCCTGGACTGGCACAAAAAGGGAGGAGAGGGGCAGAGATTAGTTTATTACAGACAACCTAAAAATAGGTTTATACAGGTACACAATGTCACAGACTAATACAAATGTAAATTTTTTGCTTTAGGCAAGAGTTATACATGGTAATAATAAGGTTTATCTCAGACCAATGATATGCTCTGATTATAGTTAAATACAATTTTTATTAATTTATGTAGGGAAATTTGTTGGTTATTAATGAGAGTTCAGTAGAGAAAAGTCTTTCAAAAAAAAAGTAGAAGGGGCTGGGAAGGTGGCTCAGTGGTAGAGCGCTTGCCTTGCATGCTCAAGGCCCTGGGTTCAATTCCTCAGCACCACATAAGCAAAAAGAAAAAAGCCGGAAGTGGCACTGTGGTTCAAGTGGTAGAGCGCTAGCCTTGAGCTGAAGAGCTGAGGGACAGTGCCCAGGCCCAGAGTTCAGGCCCCACGACTGGACCCAAAAAAAAAAAAAAAAAGTAGAAAAAGTCAGTGCAGTGGTTCACATCTGTAATCCCAACTGCTTGGGATTATGCTTGCATAAATAGAAGGACTGAAGTCCAGGCTAGCCCAGGAAAAATACCATGAGACCCTCTTTGGAAAATAGCTAAAGCAAAAAGGGTTAGAGGTGTGGCTCAAGCTAGAACACCTGTCCAGCAAGCAGGAGGCCCCAAGTTCACACCCTAGAAACACCCCCCCAAAAAAAGTATAAAGTAGAAAACCATAGTACAATTATTGGTCCAGCTACAAAAAAGGAAACTACAAAACGGATCATCCTGAAGAAATGGTTCCCCCTTAAAGAGAAGAGATGCTAACCGTTGAGCGTAGGGTGGAAAAGCCCTGCAGGGAGGAGGGAGGAGAGAGGAGAAGAAAAAGGCCTAATTTAGAGAGAGAAGAGGATGTGAGGGGGAGATTTCCAATCAACTCCTAGCTTGAAGCCACTATGTCTGTAGACATCTCCCCATGCCTGTTCTGGGGCTGACCACGAACTATGGGCCAGGCAGAGCCTCAGGATAGAGAGGCCCTGTCTGAACACAAAGCAAAACCCAGAAATCTAGAAGGAAGGCAGGAAGGCTGTGGGGCCTGGCTCAGCGGTGGAGGGGTAGCCTGGCGCACACAGGGGGCCCTGGATTACAGCCCCCGGGCCCTGAGAGGAAGGGAGAGAGAGGGAGGGGGGAGGGAAGGGAGAGGAAGAGACACTCTTAGGATCAGACAGCCAGCCTGGGTTGGAGGATGGCCTCAGTGTCTTCGTTTGTGCCTTGGATTTTTGCATTAGTTTTGGGTTTGGCCTCTGTTCTCTTGTCTCTAAAATGGCGGCGGTCACTCAGTTCCTATGCAGTGGCAGGTTGTTTTGTGAGGACTTTTCTGTTGACCAGACACACAATGAGCACCCGACAACTGCCAAGTATTCTTTGGCAGTGAGGCCCGGGTGCTTTGTGCATCCCAACATGAGCGCAGGGGCCCAGGGCTGCCTGCCTGCCATCCGGGGTTCTGATCCAGGCAGATCGGAACCCAGCAGAGGGGAATGCTGAGAACTATTAGCGGGAAACAGTGTCTGTCTGAGGTGTTCTTGTTTGTTTATTTTTCTCCCAAATGTGTCAAACCTGATAGCTTAATAAGCATATCAGATCATGCAGAACATATGTCTTGTTCCAAAAATAATACACAAACAAGATTTGTGAGGGAAAAAAAATCAGAGCCAGGCGCTGGCAGCTCACGCCTGTAATCCTAGCTACTTGGGAGGATCTGAGGATCCTGGTTTGAAGCCAACCCAGGCAGCAAAGTCCCCCGTGATACTCTTAATCTTAAAAACTGGAGGTGGAGCTGTGCCTCAAAGTGGTAGAGTGCTAGCCTTGAGCAAAAATGGCTCAGAGACAGCACCTAGGCCCTGAGTTCAGTGGGAAAGCCAAAGCCCTATCACCTGGTGGCCCACAGACAGGACGAGGCCCCTTTGGGCCTTGAGGCAGAGGCTCTGAAGGGCAGGGCCCAGGCGCAGCGAGGGGCTCAGCCCTCACGCCCCTTCCCTCTCCTCCACAGGCGCCTTCTTCGTCCCCTACTTCATCTTCTTCTTCAGCTGCGGCATCCCGGTGTTCTTCCTGGAGGTGTCCCTGGGCCAGCACACCAGCCAAGGGAGCGTCACAGCCTGGAGGAAGATCTGCCCCCTCTTCCAGGGTGAGTCTTCCTGCACAGCATTTGCCCATCGTCCTCCCTCCCCTTCCTGTGCAACATCTGCCCGTCCTCCCTCCCCTTCCTGTGCAACATCTGCCCGTCATCCCTCCCCTTCCTGTGCAACATCTGCCCGTCATCCCTCCCCTTCCTGTACAACATCTGCCCATCATCCCTCCCCTTCCTGTACAACATCTGCTCATCCCTCCCCTTCCTGTACAACATCTGCCCATCATCCCTCCCTTTCCTGTATAACATCTGCCCGTCATCCCTCCCCTTCCTGTGCAGCATCTGCCCGCTTCCTTAACCCTTGCCCACCTCACTCTCCATCCACCGCTCAGCCTGGGCTAACTGGACAGACAAGCTTCGTGGGGCCTGAAGCTTACACAGCTTGGGAATGAGGACCCACAGCATGGAAACCAAGTTACCAAAATCACAAAGAGCAGATCTGGTGCAGGTCTTGGAGGGGCCTCTGAGCCTCCTCTGTGGGTCTGTAGGTCTGAGTGTGCGCTGAGCCTCCCACAGTGCCAACCCTGATGCTGCAGACAGTCAACCAGAAAAGACAGTTGAGAGGGCTCCCTTGGGCCAGGGGACGGACCCCTGTCCAACTAGGGTGTGGACTCTGGTCTCTAGAACTCAGTACAAAGAGTCCAGAAGGGGCAGGGAGGGACAGGCCTGAGGCTGGCTGCCAGAGAGCCTAGCAGTGGAGCTGTGCACAGTGGTGCACTTCTATAATCCCAGCACTTAGGAGGCCAAAGCAGGAGGATTGTGAGCTTGAGGCTATTTGGGGCTCCATAGTGAGATTCTGTCTCAAAAACAAACCAAGTAGAGACGGCAGAGGAGAGAGGAGAAGGAAGGGAAGGGGAAGGAACGGGACTCCATGGATGGTTTCATGTCAGTGACAGAACCCCAGTGGTCCTTGTCCTGAGCCCACGGCTGGCGGCTTCCATGCCGTCCCTGCTTGCGTTAACGTCACCCTCGCGCGCTGTGTGTCTCTCCCCCACCCCTGTTCCCGAAGGCATCGGCCTGGCGTCTGTGGTCATCGAGTCTTACCTGAACATTTACTACATCATCATCCTCGCCTGGGCCCTCTTCTATCTGTTCAGCTCCTTCACCTCCCAGCTGCCCTGGACCAGCTGCTCCAATGCCTGGAACACAGGTAGACCCCCGTGCGCCAGCCCCCACCCCCACCCCGGTCACCATGGTGACGGCTGCCGTGGTGGCGGTGGCAGGCTCTCTCCGCCTCCTCCCGTGTAATAGTTCCCAGGCATGTGCCAAACATGGTGCCAAAGGGGTGGAGACAGCCTAGTGGGGCAAAAGGGAGAGGAGGGGGGAGTGTGGGATATCGCACTGGTGGGGGGGGGCGTGGGAGGGAGAGAGGAATCAGAGGGGCAGCACTGGAGGGAGCCGGCCATGGGGCTGCCTGGGACCCAGGGGCCCTCCTACACCCAGCCCTGGCGCTCTCGGAGATGGAGCCCCCAAAGAAAGCTCTGGGGCCTAGCCATGGTGGAAGGCAAGGCGCTGGATGTGAGGACAGAGGCCAGGGGAGGCTTCGGGTTTGAGGAGCTCCTCATCTTCTCCGTCCCTGACCCCTCCCCTGCCTGTGCCTGCAGAACTCTGCGTGAACTTCCTGAACCACTCCGCAGCCGTCATGCACTCCGAGAACTTCACCTCGCCCGTCATAGAATTCTGGGAGTAGGTGCTACCTTCCAGGCCCCCCCCGCCCCCCCCACACACACACAGGGGAAACCTGCGCGCCTGAGCTGTGCGTGGTCGGGATGTCCCGGGGGTGCATGTTTGAGACTCTGGGCACGCTGTCTAGCCTTCACCCACACCACTGAGAGACAAGGGAGTCTGTACCCCCGCACACACACCCATGCTTGCCCACAGACACTCCAAGCCCACACCCAGACCTGGATTTTCCACGCAGGCCTGCTTACATTCCCCCATTCACTGTCCTCTGGCACGGTCAGGTCCTGCCTTCCCCCGAGGTCCAGGACCCCCATCCCTGAACACACATATACCTCAGGGTGCTGACAGCCTGGGGATCTTCCAAACCCTGTTCCCACCAGCCAGGGGAGTGTTTACACCACGAATGTGTGCCAGCCAACCCTCCCACGATCGTGCACCCCTCTACCCCCCGCCTGCCCGCGTGTGTGTCCCTCTTGCTTCTCCCCAGCCTGCCTGGGCCCACTGGCTGCATCAGCCCCAGCTCGCTCACCTGCGTCCTCACCCGCATCTGCCTGGCTGGCCAGGTGGGCACTGCTCACACCCATTTGCTTTATGTCATCTTTATGTCCCCCTGCGCATATATAAACATACACGCACCTGTACATACACCCGAACACGTACCCACCACGTAACTGAATATCCACTCTCCCACTCCTGACAAACCTCACACGCCCTCACCCTCTCTCTTTATCTCTCTGTGCAACAGTTAGAGAGACACAGATGCCCGTGGGATTACGGTGATGGGGGTCCCCCCCACCCCCAGCCAGGGTCCCTGACACCACAGGTGGGAGCGCAGGGGGAGACCGGCCTCCCCTGGGAGGGAGGAGCGGGAGGCGGGGGCTGGGGAGAGGAGGAGGCACAGGATGGGGTCAGCTCTGAACACACTGTGGGGACAGTGGCCATTTGTCCCTTCGACCATTCACCCCGGTGTTTGTTCTTCCCAACCCACCAGGAGACGTGTCCTGGGCATCACCTCCGGCCTCCACGAGCTGGGGGCCCTGCGCTGGGAGCTGGCGCTGTGTCTCCTGCTCGCCTGGATCATCTGCTACTTCTGTATCTGGAAGGGGATCAAGTCCACGGGCAAGGTGAGCTGCGCCAGCGGCCCCGGCCACAGCCCGCCCTGCGCATGGGCACTCCAAGGGGTCCCTCCTCCCGAGAGATGAAAGGAAGTCCTCGGGGTCCCCCCTGGTGGGGTGCAGGGCAGTGGCAGGACAGCTCGGCAGTTTTGGCCCGGGATAAGGAGAGGTTTTCTTTTTTGGTAGACTTCAAAAGGCCCGTTTACATAAATAATACTCAGAGCCAAATCAAAAAGCATCAAAATCTCGCAGCCGGAGCTAATCTGTGTCTAGGTGGCCAGTGGGTGGCCGGTTAGATCTGCTCGTCCCTGGGGACCTTGGTGCCTCTGCCTACTCATTTCTCTCAGGAGTCTGTCACTGCGTGTGTGTGTGTGTGTGTGTGTGTGTGTGTGTGTGTGTGTGTGTGTGTGTGTTGTACTGTGTGTACGGTACTCAGGAGCCACACTCACAACTGCTTATTATACATGATTCCACCTGAACAAGAGTCTCAGTACACAGAGCTACAAGCAGAACTGCCTGGCTAGACGGGGCGAGACTGAGCTCCGCTGTGGAGTGAGCTCAGGGGGAGCGGGGGCATTGCTTCCCACCCAGAAACCAAGAACGCCGCTCCCCGCTTTCACCAGCCAGGCCTGGCAGGGGCTCAGGCCGCCAGTCAGGCCCGTCCCCAAGCCGTCCCTTTGCCTGGCTTGCTGCACAAGGGAGATGTGGGGGTAATGACACACAGGGCGGTCCTGGGTTGGGACACAGGACCCCTGTGACTCCGAGGTCCCCGTGGGCCGACTGACACCCTTCCTCAACCTTCACCTTGGGAAAGTATCGCCGAAATCTCCCTGCCCATCCCCCCCCACCCTCCCTACACCGCCCCCCCCATGGGAGGGGAGATAGCAACCAGGGTAAAGGATGCAGTGTGTGTGTGTGTGTGTGTGTGTGTGTGTGTGTGTGTGTGTGTGTGTGTGCTTGTCAACCCTGGGGCTTGAACTCCAGACCTGGAAGCTGTCCCCGAGCTTTTCTGCTCAAGGCCAGTGCTCTACTGCTTGACCCAAAGCTCTGCTTTGGGATTTGGGGTGGTTCATTCGAAACAGGAGTCTCATAGACTTTCCTTCCCTGTCCTGGCTTTGAACCGAGATCCTCAGATCTCAGCCTCCTGAGTCGCTAGCACGACAGGCGTGGGGACATCTGAAGTTGGGGCCCGGTAGGGAAGCCTGGGCAGTGGGGAGACTCGGGGAGGCCCGTCTCTCCCGAGAAGCCCCTCCTCCCCCGCATGCAGGAGTGACCTCGGCCCCCCTCCCTCCAGGTTGTCTATTTCACGGCCACCTTTCCTTACCTGATGCTGATCGTCCTGCTGGTGCGCGGCGTCACCCTGCCCGGCGCCTCCCATGGCATCCTCTACTACCTGAAGCCGGACCTGCTCCGCCTCAGGGACCCGCAGGTGGGCTCCGTGTGGCACCGGGACTCCGGGGCCGCTCACCCTGCGCCCATCTGTGCTTGGGCAAGTCTTTACTTTGCTTTAAAAGCCATCTATAAATACAGGGGGCGACACAGAAGAAAACCCAGAAAGGAACTAGTGCATCTCTTGGAATCTATAATTCTATAATTTCTGTTAGCACAGCAGTATATTTCCTCCCCAGCTGTTTTTGTTTTTGTTTTTTGGGTTTTTTTTTTGTCGGTTGTGGGGCTTGAACTCAGGGCCTGGGCGCTGTCCCTCAGCTCTTCAGCTCAAGGCGAGCGCTCTACCCCTTGAGCCACAGCGCCACTTCCGGTTTTCTGGTGGTTCATTGCAGATGAGAGTCTCATGGACTTTCCTGTCCGGGCTGGCTTTGAACCACGATCCTCAGATCTCAGCCTGCTGAGTAGCGAGGATTATAGGCGTGAGCCACTGGCACTTGGCCATATATCCTTTTTGTTGTTCTTTAACTAAATCCTGTGTTATTAAATTCATCTCCAAATGCCAACCGCTTAGGTTTGCCAACAGAATGTATGGGTGTTCCATGAAGGGCCAGGCGCTGCTGCCGTGATGGGGATGGGAGAGTGGACGGAGGGGCGGGCATGCTTGTGAGCAGGGAGACCGAGGGGTGGGCTGGTGCGCACGCCAGCGGCCTGGGCTCTGCTCTCCCGGGCTCCCTTCCGACCCTCCTACCACATCCGCGGGCATCTCACGCAGGTGTGGATGGATGCCGGCACCCAGATCTTCTTCTCCTTTGCCATCGGCCAGGGGTGTCTGACAGCGCTGGGCAGCTACAACAAGTACCACAACAACTGCTACAGGTGAGGACAGCCCTTCCCAAGGGGACAGGGATTCCACTGGGGGACGGGGGCGAGGGGAGGGGGGGGCTGAGCAAAGACCCACCAGCCTGGGCCCGCCCCGGACGCTGCTGCTGCTGCTCTCAGACCTTGCCCCTTGCCTTGTCCTTCCCCGTTTGTGCCCCCTTCCCTCTTCACCCGGCCCCTCTCCCTCTCCATCCCTGCTGCATCCCCCTGCGTGCACACAGGGACTCCATCGCCCTCTGCTTCCTGAACAGCGCCACCAGCTTTGTGGCCGGCTTTGTCGTCTTCTCCATCCTGGGCTTCATGTCCCAAGAACAAGGGGTGCCCATTTCCGAGGTGGCCGAGTCAGGTGAGTGGCCTCCCGGCCTCACAGCTGTGGTCCTCCTGCAGACCAGAGGAACCGGAGCCCGGGCCTCGGGACCCTTTCAGCGTCAGGGGCAGGAAGTGTGGGACACACTGGGTTTCTAGAATGAGATGGGGATGGGGAAAGGGGAAACTCTTGCATGCATGTGTTTATGAAGGAGTGGATGAACAAATGAATGTATAGATGGATGGGTAGATGGATGGATGAATGGATGCATGCATATGTGCATAGATGATGGATGGATGATGGTGGATGCATGGATGGGTGGATGGATGATGCATGGGTGGATGGATGATGGTGGATGCATGGATGGGTGGATGGATGATGCATGGGTGGATGTATGTATGTATGATGGATGGATGGTGGATGGATGAATGATGGATGGTAGATGGGTGGATGGATGGATGGATGGGTGGATGGATGGATGGATGGATGAATGAGTGGATGAGTGGATGGATAAATGGATAGATGGATGAAGGGATGGATGAGTGGATGGATGGATGGATGAGTGGATGGATGGATGGATGGATGGGTGGGTGGGTGGGTGGGTAGATGGATGTATGGGTGGATGGATGGATGATGGATGGTAGATGGATGGATGGATGGATGGGTGGATGGATGGATGGTGGATGGGTAGATAGATGGATAGGTGGATGGATGGATGGGTGGATGGATGATGGATGGATGATGGATGAATGGTGGATGGATGGATGGATGGATAGGTGGATGGATGGATGATGGATGGATGGTGGATGGATGGAGGGATGGGTGGGTGGATGGATGGATGGATGGATGGATGATGGATGGGAGGATGGATGGATGATGGATGGTGGATGGATGGAGGGATGGGTGGGTGGATGGATGGATGGGTGGGTGGATGGATGGATGGGTGGGTGGATGGATGGATGGGTGGGTGGATGGGGGGTGGATGGGTTGGGTGGGTGGATGCATGCATGGATGCATGGGTGGATGGATGGGTGAATGGATGGTGGATGGATGGATGCATGCATGCATGGATGGGTAGATGGATGGATGGTGGATGGATGGAAGAATGCATGCATGCATGCATGGATGAAAGGATAGAGAGATGATGAACAACTTGCTCTCCTCAGGAAGAGCAAAACAATGGGTAAGTCCACTGTGTCCTCTTGAACCACCCCCATGCTGTGTGTGCACGGGTGTGCCCAGACACACATGGGGCTGGGCGGGGGCGGGGGGGAAGGGGAGTGGGAGGGCTCCTCGGTGCTGCCCAGAACCCAGAGCCCAGAGCCCATGGCCCGTGCTGTGCTTGGCAGGTCCCGGGCTGGCCTTCATCGCCTTCCCCAAGGCCGTGACCATGATGCCGCTGTCACAGCTCTGGTCCTGCCTTTTCTTCCTCATGCTCATATTTCTCGGGCTGGACAGCCAGGTACAGCACCCATGCCCACCCTGCCCTGCCCTGCCCTGCCCTGCCCAGCCTGCCCTGGGTCCTTCTTCCAGCTCCTACTCCTCCTGGCCTTGCCTGGAAGCCTTCTGCTGCCCAGGGCTGTTATTTGAGGTTCCCACTGATGTCCCCCAACTCTTCTCCTGGACGCTCAGCTCTGGAGGCCTGGCTTCAGCCCCACAGCCTTGCGGACAGAACCTTCTTCCCCTCCCAGGCCCCCCCCCGCCCACTCCCAAGCCCCTGCGGCAGGGCAGGCTGTGGGGGGGGGGCGCCCACACAGCCCCTCACCCCCCCCCCCCCGTCCACAGTTCGTGTGCATGGAGTGTCTGGTGACCGCCTTCCTGGACATGTTCCCCGGGCAGCTGCGCAGGCGCGGCCGCCGTGAGCTCCTCATCCTGGCCATCGCCATCCTGTGCTACCTGGTTGGGCTCCTGCTGGTCACCGAGGTGAGGGGGCCCCCGGGGGAGGAGAGCCTGCCGGGGAGATGGCCCCTGCGTCCTGTCCCTGTCCCCTGTGTCCCTCTGCCCATCTCAGGCCGAGGGTCCACCTGGTAACCAAAGGCAGGTGGTGGCCATTAGCGGCTCCCCTTTTCCCAGCCAGCCGACCCAGGAGGAGGAAGAGGAGAGGGATCCCCGCCCCCCCCAGCCCTGACCACCCTCCACCTCCACAGGGCGGCATGTACATCTTCCAGCTGTTCGACTATTACGCGTGCAGCGGCATCTGCCTGCTCTTCCTCTCCGTGTTTGAAGTGATCTGTATCGGCTGGGTGTACGGTGAGTCCCCCCACCCCCCTTCCGCCCCGGGAGGCCGCAGCAGGGGAAGGAGAGCTGGGAAGGGGCAGAGACAGCCAGGGGCTTCCTGAGAGTGGGAAGCCCGGCGTCTCTCATTCGGATGGCGAGAGTCCGGTTCCTGGCAAGGCCCGAGGAAGCTGCTGAGCCCCCAACCCCGGCTGGAGTCCCCTCCCACACACAGGCCCTCAGCCCCCCACCCCCAGATTCCCTCCTTCCCGTTGCAGTGGCTGGCTCAGTGCCTGGGCGTTGCTTGAATACTTGTACAAGCAGGACCCTCACGCCCGTGTTTGCCAAGCTGCCTTTCCCACCCGCGTGCCCGCCCGTGGCGCCCACCAACCCCAGCTGAGCTACTCGGGAAGGCTGAGGACCCCCGGCCCCAGCCGGCCCCACATTCCGCAAAAGGCTGGAGATGGAGCTGTGGCTCAGGTGGTAGAGCAGGAGCTGAGGGACAGGCCCCGAGTTCAAGCCCCAGGGCCGGCGCAGAGTGGCCTTTTCCACGGCAGCTGCTCCCATGTCTTCCCAGAGCTTGTGGGGGGACAGGCACGGGGGAGGGGCACCCCGCCTTGTGGTGGTGGCCCTGCCCTCCCCCCCAGCTCTGCAGCTCCCAGGGGGCCACCATCGCAGGGAGGGGCTGGGAGGAGCCCAGGGGCCCGGGGACACCCCCTCCCTCTGCTCCTCACCCTCCCCCTTGCCTGTGCAGGGGCCGACCGTTTCTATGACAACATGGAGGACATGATCGGCTACCGGCCGTGGCCCCTGGTGAAGATCTCCTGGCTCTTCCTGACGCCGGGACTCTGCCTGGTACTGCCCGCCCGCCTGCCCGCCTGCCCTTCCTCCATGCCCTGTGAGACTCTCCCCCCTCCCTTTCCCCCTCCTCCCATTCCTGCCCCATGCCTTCCTGTCGGCCTCGCCCTGCCATTTTCTTCCAGGAGCTCCACCCACCCTTTGCACCTCTGCCTGCTCCATCCTGGGCTGGGGGGGGGGGGGGGGTCCTGGCCCTGGAGGCCTCCGGGCTTCCGCTGGGGTCTGACCTGCCTGGGCTGTGGGAGCAGCGGGAGGGCCTCCTTCATGGCCTGCTCCTCCCTGCTTCTCTCCTGCAGGCCATCTTCCTCTTCTCCCTGAGCAAGTTCACGCCTCTGACCTACAACAAGGTGTACGTGTACCCGCCCTGGGGCTACGCCATCGGCTGGCTGTTGGCTCTCTCCTCCATGGCTTGCGTTCCTCTCTTCGCCATCATCAACCTGCTGCGGGCCAGGGGCTCCTTCACGGAGGTAAGCAGCAAGCTGGGTGCTGTGGCTCAAGCCTGTCATCCTAGCTACACACACACACACACACACACACACACACGCACGCACGCACGCACGCACACACACGGAGCTGAAGATGCGGGAGGCAGGGAAGTTGCAGTTCGAGGCCAACCTGGGCTTAAGAAGTTCCCGAGACTCCATCCCAACCACTGACTGGGAGCAGTGGCGTATACCTGGCATTCCAGCTACAAGAGAAGTCCAGGGGTAGGGCACGGTGTCGTATACCTGTCACCCCCAGCACCCCAGGGAGGGACAGGCTGGCTGGGATATAAAGTGAGACCCTACCTTGAAAATAATTAACAAGTGCCAGGCAGGCACCGGTGGCTCCCACCTGTCATCCCAGTGACTCAGGAGGCTGAGATCTGAGGATCATGGTTCAAAGCCAGCCTGGGCAGAACAGTCCCTGAGACTCACATCTCCAGTGAACCACAAGAAAACCGGAAGTGGCGCTATGGCTCAAAGTGGTAGAGCGCCAGCCTTAAAACAAAACAGCTCAGGGACAGCGCCAGGCCCTGAGTTCAAGACCCACAACTGGGGGGGGGGGAGTAGTTGGCATAGGGTCCGGCTGCTCAGGTGTCACTGGGGACGGGCTGCCCCGTCTGTCCTGCCCTTCCCCCCCTGAACACATCGTCCACCCACCGGCCACATGTGCTGCCACCAGCTCCGCCCCCAAAAGGTGGGCGTGGCTCCGGCCATCACCTCTGCCCACATTCCACCTGGCGAGAGGGCGCGGCCAGCGGTAGCGGTAATGACGCACACGCGGTCCTGTGGTGACAAGGACGGCTGTGACAGCGCGGTGGCCCCGGCCCATGCCCTGGGACGAGAAAGCGGAGCTGGCCGGCCTCTCGCAGCCCGCGGGTCTGAGCTGAGCTGAGCACACCTGCTTTCCTCTCCGCAGCGCCTCCGGCAGCTAGTCACGCCCGACCCCAGCCTGCCCCAGCCCCGGCCGCGCCCCAGCGCGGAGGGGGGCCTGGCCCAGGAGGGCAGGCTCCCCACCGCCAAGGAGGGCCTCGTGGCTCAGGAGAAGGAGACGCACTTGTAGCGGGCGGCTCCGGACCAGGCCCCCTGGGAGACAGCGTCTGCTGAGACCTGGGGGTGGCGGGGTGGGGGGCACCGTGGGCACCCCGCTGGGCCCTGGCTGAGCCCAGACCCCGCCCAGGCTCGCTGACCTCGCCCTCAGCTGTGTTCCTGTAGTTTTTATTATTATTATTATTAGCATACATCCGTTATGCGGGGGGGGGGGGGGAGGAGGGTGCCATGGTGATCACGCATGCACTGTACTCCAACCCCCTCCCCCTCCCTACCGTCCCCCCAAGCCCCCCTCCGGAAACAGTTTCAACAGCTTCGACTGTTCCCGGCTTCATCCAGGAAAACCTTCTAGGCACCCCCTGTCAGCCTCCCTGGCGCCCAGCCGCCCGGCACAGCCTGTACCCCTCCACCCCGGGCCCCCCAGCCCATCCACTCAGCGTATTCCAAAACTACACACCCTCCTGCCCCTTCCCCTCCAAAACTACACACCCTCCCCTGCCCCAAAACTACGCACCCTCCCCTGCCCCAAAACCCACCCTCCCCTGCCCCAAAACTACGCACCCCTCCCCTGCCCCTTCCCCTCCAAAACTACGCACCCTCCCCTGCTCCAAAACTACGCACCCTCCCCTGCCCCAAAACCCACCCTCCCCTGCCCCAAAACTACGCACCCTCCCCTGCCCCTTCCCCTCCAAAACTACGCACCCCTCCCCTGCCCCTTCCCCTCCAAAACTACGCACCCTCCCCTGCCCCAAAACTACACACCCTCCCCTGCCCCTTCCCCTCCAAAACTACGCACCCTCCCCTGCCCCAAAACTACGCACCTCTCCCCTGCCCCTGCCCCAAAACTACACACCCTCCCCTGCCCCAAAACTACGCACCCTCCCCTGCCCCAAAACTATGCACCCTCCCCTGCCCCAAAACTACGCACCTCTCCCCTGCCCCTGCCCCAAAACTACGCACCCTCCCCTGCCCCAAAACTACGCACCCTCCCCTGCCCCAAAACTACGCACCCTCCCCTGCCCCAAAACTACGCACCCTCCCCTGCCCTTCTCCTTCTCAGTACTCCTTCCGTCAGAATGGTATGCCGTGTCTTTCTAAATACATAATTCTATGTACAGAAATACATGTGTGTGTGGTGCATGTATGTGCCTGTGTGTGTGCGTGCGTGCGCCTGTCCGTGAGTGGAAAAAACACAATAGGCTTATGAGCTCATCTCAGTCTGGCGTTCTCCACTTACATTCATTTTCCTGCCGATGACGCGATTTCATTTTCCTTTCCATGGCAGTGTACCATTCCATTCTACACACACACACACACACGCACGCACACACGCACGCACGCACGCACCTACATTCCATTCTACACACACTCACGCACGCACCTACATTCCATTCTACACACACACACATGCATACACACACGCACGCACGCACCTACATTCCATTCTACACACACGCACGCATGCACCTACATTCCATTCTACACACACGCACCCCTACATTCCATTCTACACACACACACATGCATACACACACGCACGCACGCACCTACATTCCATTCTACACACGCACGCACGCACGCACGCACCTACATTCCATTCTACACACACGCACCCCTACATTCCATTCTACACACACACACATGCATACACACATGCACGCACGCACCTACATTCCATTCTACACACACACGCACGCACCTATATTCCATTCTACACACACACACACACACGCACGCACCTACATTCCATTCTACACACACACACCCCTACATTCCATTCTACACACACACACCTACATTCCATTCTACACACATGCACCCTACATTCCATTCTACACACACACACACCCTACATTCCATTCTACACACGCACACCTACATTCCATTCTACACACATGCACCCTACATTCCATTCTACACACACACACACCCTACATTCCATTCTACACACACACCCTACATTCCATTCTACACACGCATGCACCCTACATTCCATTCTACACACACACACACCCTACATTCCACTCTACACACACACGCACCCTACATTCCATTCTACACACACACACACCCTACATTCCATTCTACACACACACGCCCTACATTCCATTCTACACACACACGCACCCTACATTCCATTCTACACACACACACACCCTACATTCCATTCTACACACACATGCACCCTACATTCCATTCTACACACACACACGCCCTACATTCCATTCTACACACACACGCCCTACATTCCACTCTACACACACACGCACCCTACATTCCATTCTACACACACACACACCCTACATTCCATTCTACACACACATGCACCCTACATTCCATTCTACACACACATGCACCCTACATTCCATTCTACACACACACACACCCTACATTCCACTCTACACACACACGCACCCTACATTCCATTCTACACACACACACACCCTACATTCCATTCTACACACACACGCCCTACATTCCATTCTACACACACACGCACCCTACATTCCATTCTACACACACACACACCCTACATTCCATTCTACACACACATGCACCCTACATTCCATTCTACACACACACACGCCCTACATTCCATTCTACACACACACGCCCTACATTCCATTCTACACACACACACACCCTACATTCCATTCTACACACACACACACCCTACATTCCATTCTACACACACATGCACCCTACATTCCATTCTACACACACACACGCCCTACATTCCATTCTACACACACACACACCCCACATTCCATTCTACACACACACTCCCTACATTCCATTCTACACACACACACACACCCTACATTCCATTCTACACACACATGCACCCTACATTCCATTCTACACATACACGCGCCCCACATAACATTCTACACATGCAGGTGCCCCACAGTCCATTCTACACGATCATGCACCACATTCCATTTTACACGCACCTTACATTCCATTCTACACACACACACCCCACACACACATAATATTCTACACACACATGCACCGCAATTCCATTCTACACAGTCACGTGGGCTACATCCCATTCTACACACACACACTCACCATACATTCCATTCTACACACACGCAAGCTTTACATTCCGTTCTACACACACACACACCCTACATTTCATTCTACACACACACACCCCACATTCCATTCTACACACACGCACCCCACATTCTATTCTATACACACACCCTACATTCCATTCTACACACACACACACACACACACGCCCTACATTCCATTCTCCACACACGCACCCCACATTCTATTCTACACACGCACCCTACATTCCATTCTACACACACACACGCACACCCCACATTCTATTCTACACACGCACCCTACATTCCATTCTACACACACACACACCCCACATTCTATTCTACACACGCACCCTACATTCCATTCTACACACACACACACACACACACGCCCTCCATTCCATTCTATACACAAGCGCGCCCTATATTCCGTTTTACACACACACACACACACACTCTACATTTTCTTGCACACCCTGGCTGCGTCCACCACTCATCTGTTGTGATCACGCCACATAAATATAAGTTTCGTGGCTAGCTCTCGCCATCCTGACCCGCACTCTTTGGGGTTGTGTCTTCCCAATAGTAGGGTGGCGGATTCAAGGAGAAGGTCATGTTTCAGCTTTGCGAGGGGCTCCATGCTGATTCCCGGAGTGTAGCCATGGTTTACGTCCTCACCAACCATGCAGGAGAGCTCTCTCTCTCCCTCTCAATCTCTCTCTCTCTCTCTCTCTCTCTCTCTCACACACACACACACACACACACACACACACACACACTGTCTCCAGCATTTGTTGTTAAAATTGCGATCGTAGTGTGGTTTTGATGTGTGTTTCTTTTATGGTTACCGTTGAGGAATGTTTCTTCATGTATCTATTAGCTACATGTGTGTGTGGTGTGTGTGTTTTATGCTCATCCTGGGCCTTGAACTCAGGGCCTGAGCACTGTCCCTGAGCCTCTTTTGTGCTCAAGGCTAATGCTCTACCATGTAAGCCACAGCGCCACTTCTGACTTTTTCTGAGTGGTTTATTGGAGATAAGAGTCTCACTGATTTTTCTGCCCAGGCTGGCTTCAAACTGGGATCCTCAGATCTCAGCCTCCTGAGTAGCTAGGATGACAGGCGGGAGCCACCGGTGCCTGGCTTCTTTTTCTACTTTATAGAAGAGTTTGTGCAACTATTGGTGTTGTTTGAAGTAGAGCTTAACTGTGAATCCATCTGGTCTTCCTTGAAAAACTATTACTGCTTCAGTCTCCTTGCTTATTATACTTCTATTTAAGCGATTTATAGCCTCTTGGTTAACTTGTATCTAAAAATGTATCCATTTCGCATCCTGCCTCCATTTTTGTTTTAAGTGTAGGTTTTCAAAGCATTCTCTCATGAGTCTTCGGATTTCTTTGATATCTGTGGTTACATTTCCTTTTTTACTTCTAATTTTGATTTGAATCTCTTCCCTCCTCCTTTTGGTCAAGTTAGAGATGGGCTTGTCAACCTTGTTTATTTATTGCAAAGAGCCAACTTTTTATTTTACTGATTCTTCGTATAGGAGGGGTTTTCTTTGGTCCCAATTTTATTAATTTCTTCCCTAATCTTTATTATTTCTTTATTATCTCTACTAGTTTTGGACTTGGTTTGTTCCTGTGTTTCTAGAAGTTCAAATTGCATCATAAGGCGATTTATTTGAGGGCTTTTTGGTTTCCTGTTTTCTTTTAAGTAGCCACTCATGGCTATAAATTTTCCTCTCAGCCCTGCCTTTGCTCTGTCCCAAAGGTTCTGGTAAGATGTGTTTTCATTTTCCTTAGTTTCCAGGAACATTTCTGTTTCTCCTGTGACCTGCATGTCATTCAGCAGTCTGTGTGCGTGAATATTTTCTCTAGTACGTTTTGCTGTCGGGTTCCGGTTTAATTCCATTGCGGCCTGACAGCACACACAGAGCTATTTTGAGTATCTCATGCTTGCTCAGACTTCCTTTAGGTGCTGAAATGTGGCACTGTGGAGAAAGTTCCAGGACTGACGAGC